TGAAATTGACTAAGAGACTAACAATCGAATGGATTGAACTTTAAAAAAAATCGAAAACGTTTAAAGAAAAAATCTAACTTACTGTTGCTAAGAACACAGAGATTGAACTTGTACAATTAATCAAACTTACTGCTAAGAACACCCTACGAACATAGTTGATTGAACTTGTCAAACTGAAAATGAACAAAATAAGTCGAACTTACTGCTAAAAATATCTAGCTACTAGACTGATAACTTATGTGGAAAAATTTCTAATGTATTGATGCTGCATAACGATGAAATTGACTAAGAGAGTAAAAATCGAATGGATTGAACTTTTAAAAAACAAAAACGTTCAAAGAAAAAATCTAACTTACTATTCGTAAGAACACAGAGATTGAACTTGTACAACTGATCGAACTTACTACTAAGAACACCCTATAAACAGAGATGATTGAACTTGTAAGGCAAAATATGTCGAACTTACCCTTAAGAAAATCTAGCAGTTGGACAGATGATTGATGCCGACTAATTTCCAATCCATTGATGCTGCATAACGATGAAATTAACTAACATACTAATAATCGAATTAATTGAACTTGTAAAAAAGAAAAATGTTCAAAGAAAAAATCTAACTTACTGTTGCTAAGAACACAGAGATTGAACTTATACAACTGATCGAACTTACTACTAAGAACACCCTACGAACAGAGATGATTGAACTTGTAAAACTGAAAATGAATAAAATAAGTCGAACTTACCGCTAAGAAGATCTAGTTGTTGGACTGATGACTGTTGCAGACTGATTTACAATGCATTGATACTGCATAACTATGAAATTGACTAAGAGACTAACAATAGAATGGATTGAACTTATAAAAAGAACTAAAACGTACAAAAAAATAAATCTAACTTACTACTGCTAAGAACACAGAGATTGAACTTGTACAACTAATCGAACTTACTGCTAATAATACCTTACAAACAGAGGTGATTGAACTTATAAAACTGAAAATGAACAAAATAAGTCAAACTTACCGTTAAGAAGATCTAGCTGCTGGACTGATGACTGATGTTGACTGATTTCCAATCCATTGATGCTGCATAACGATGAAATTAACTCAGAGACTAATAATCGAATGGATTGAACTTGTAAAAAAGAAAAACGTTCAAAGAAAAAATCTAACTTACCGTTGCTAAGAACACAGATATTGAACTTATACAACTGATTGAACTTACTGCTAAGAACACCCTACGAACAGAGATGATTGAACTTGTAAAACTGAAAATGAATAAAATAAGTCGAACTTACTGCTAAGAAGATCTAACTGCTGGACTGATAACTGATGTGGAAAAAATTTCAACGCATTGATGATGCATAACGATAAAATTGACTAAAAGACTAACAATCGAATCGATTGATCTTTTAAAAAACGAAAACGTTCAAAGAAAAAATCTAATTTACTATTTCTAAAAATACAGAGATTGAACTTGTACAACTAATCGAACATACAACTAAGAACACCTTACGAACATAGTTGATTAAACTTGTAAAACTGAAAATGAACAAAATAAGTCGAACTTACCCTTAAAAAGATCTAGCTGCTAGACTGATAATAAATTTGTGAAAAAATTTTCAATCCATTAATGCTGCATAACAATGAAATTGACTAAGAGACTAACAATAGAATGGATTGAATTTGTAAAAAACTAAAACGTACAAAAAAATAAATCTAACTTACTACAGCTAAAAACACAGATATTGAACTTGTACAACTGATCGAATTTACTACTAACAACACCCTACGAACAGAGGTAATTGAACTTATAAAACTGAAAATGAACAAAATAAGTCGAACTTACCGCTAAGAAGATCTAGCTGTTAAACTGATGATTGATGTGGAAAAATTTCCAATGCATTGATGTTGCATAATGATGAAATTGACTAAAAGATAAACAATAGAATGGATTGAACTTGTAAAAATTTAAAACATACAAAACAATAAATCTAACTTACTACTGCTAAGAACACAAATATTGAACTTGTACAACTGATCGAACTTACTACTAAGAACACCCTACGATTAGAGGTGATTGAACTTATAAAACAGAAAATGAACAAAAAAAAGTAAAATTTACCGCTAAGAAGATCTAGCTGCTGGACTGATGACTGATGCGGACTGATTTTCAATCCATTAATGCTGCATAACGATAAAATTGACTAAGAGACTAACTATCGAATGGATTGAATATGTAAAAAATGAAAACGTATAAAAAAATAAATCTAACTTACTGTCTCTAAGAACACAGAGATTGAACTTGTACAACTAATCGAACATATAGCTAAGAACACCCTACGAACAGAGTTGATTGAACTTGTAAAACTGATAATAAACAAAATAAGTCGAACTTACCGCTAAGAAGATCTAGCTGCTAGACTGATGATTGATGTGGAAAAATTTCCAATGCATTGATGCTGCATAACGATAAAATTGACTAAAAGACTAACAATTGAATGGATTGAACTTTTAAAAAACGAAAACGTTCAAAGAAAAAATCTAACTTACTATTTCTAAAAATACAGAGATTGAACTTGTACAACTAATTGAACATACAACTAAGAACACCTTACGAACATAGTTGATTGAACTTGTAAAACTGAAAATGAACAAAATAAGTCGAACTTACCGTTAAAAAGATCTAGCTGCTAGACTGATAATAAATTTGTGAAAAAAATTTCAATCCATTGATGCTGCATAACAATGAAATTGACTAAGAGACTAATAATAGAATGGATTGAACTTGTAAAAAACTAAAACGTACAAAAAAATAAATCTAACTAACTACTGCTAAAAACACAGAGATTGAACTTGTACAACTGATCGAACTTACTGCTAAGAACATCCTAAGAACAGAAGTGATTGAACTTATAAAACTGAAAATGAACAAAATAAGTCAAAACTTACCGCTAAGAAGATATAGCTGCTGGACTGATGACTGATGCGGACTGATTTCCAATCCATTGATGCTGCATAACGATGAAATTGACTAAGAAACTAACTATCGAATCGATTGAACTTTTAAAAAACAAAAACGTTTAAAGAAAAAATTTTAACTTACTGTCTCTAAGAACACAGAGATTGAACTTGTACAACTAATCGAACATATAGCTAAGAACACCCTACGAACAAAGTTGATTGAACTTGTAAAACTGATAATCAACAAAATAAGTCGAACTTACCGCTAAAAAGATCTAGCTGCTGGACTGATGACTGATGTGGAAAAATTTTCAATGCATTGATGCTGCATAACGATAAAATTGACTAAGAGACTAACAATCGAATGGATTGAACTTTTAAAAAATGAAAACGTTCAAAGAAAAAATCTAACTTACTGTTTCTAAGAACACAGAGATTGAACTTGTACAACTGATCAAACATACAACTAAGAATACCCTACGAACATAGTTGATTGAACTTGTAAAACTGAAAATGAACAAAATAAGTCGAACTTACCGCTAAAAAGATCTAGCTTCTAGACTGATAATAAATTTGTGGAAAAATTTTCAATGCATTGATGTTGCATAACGATGAAATTGACTAAGAGACTAACAATAGAATGGATTGAACTTGTAAAAAATTAAAACGTACAAAAAAATAAATCTAACTTACTATTGCTAAGAACACAAAGATTGAACTTGTACAACTGATCAAACTTACTGCTAAGGACATCCTACGAACAGAAGTGATTGAACTTATAAAACTGAAAATGAATAAAATAAGTCAAAACTTACTGCTAAGAAAATATAACTGCTGGACTGATGACTGATGCGGACTGATTTTCAATCCATTGATGATTCATAACGATGAAATTGACGAAGAGACTAACAATCGAATGGATTGAACTTGTAAAAAACGAAAATGTACAGAAAAATAAATTTAACTTACTGCTGCTAAGAACACAGAGATTGAACTTGTACAACTGATCGAACTTATTGCTAAGAACACCCTACGAACAGATATGATTGAACTAATAAAATTGAAAATAAACAAAATAAGTCTAACTTACCGCTAAGAAAATCTAGCTGCTGGACTGATGACTGATGCGGACTTATTTCCAATGCAATGATGCTGCATAACGATGAAATTGACTAAGAGACTAACAATCGAATGGATTGAACTTGTAAAAAAAATGTACAAAAAAATAAATATAACTTATTGTTGCTAAAAAAATAGAGATTGAACTTGTACAATTGATCGAACTTACTGCTAAAAACACCCTACGAATAGAGATGATTGAACTTATAAAACTGAAAATGAACAATATAAATCGAACTTACTGAGTTGCTGGCCTGATGACTTATGCGGACTGATTTCTTAGCCTGTATGTCCTTGTCATACAAAATAACATATTAAAACAAACATATGAAAATTAAACAAATAATACATACTTTATAAAGTATAATATGTATAATCATTTTTATTTTATATTTGTTGTGATAATAGACGGTATATGCTAGATCAATTTTAATATGTGTTGTGAATACTATTGTCATATGTATTATATTTATATTATATAAATATATACTTTATACTATCGACTTATACAAAATATGTTTTCTAGTATATTTGACTTGTGCTATCTATACTATATATGCTTCTTATATATAGTAACAGCCGCATATAAAATATTGTTTTAAGTTTTTATTTATATATATAACATAAGAATCCATAATTTTTATCCTTTGAGTGTGCTTTAATACGTTTTAAGTTGAATTTAGTAACCTAAAAACTAAATCAATAATACAAATCACAATAAACAAACTATATGTAATATACAAGACTTAAAAGAGGTCGAGAATTTGATATCATGGATCAAAGTCTTTTTATGATGGATTGCATGTAGAGTTAATTAAAATGGTGAAAATGATTAACTGCACATGTGAGTACCTAGCTAGCTAGCTAAGAGGACAAGTTCAGCTGTATATCTCTAACTTTTCTTGCTCAAATTTAATGGCCGAATATGGTTGTTAACCTCCATTAATGGCGTCCAACAACTCCCCCTTCCTCCTTCGACCTCTCTTCTTTTCACCTGTAATTTCGAATACACACTGGAACCAAACCCTAACCCTAATCCACAGCTGATTTAATTTGGGTCCTTAATTAATTAATTGCTTCCACCCGTAATTTCAAGCTCCACCTGTTGATATACATTCCCCGATTTCCCCCAATTTCTGCACTCCGAGCTCCGGTCATCTTCATCAATGGAGTTCCTACCTTTCCTGCTCTCCTCTGCGCTCTTTGCCGCTTCAATTTTCGTGTTTTTTCTCTCCAGGAAGTCCCGCTCGAAGAAGCTCAACCTCCCGCCGGGGCCGCCGGGGCAGGCGGTGGTCGGAAACCTCTTCCAGGTGGCGCGCTCCGGGAAACCGTTTTTTCAGTACGTCAGGGAACTTATCCCTCAGTACGGACCGATTCTGACTCTCCGGATGGGTCGCCGGACGATGATCGTGATCAGCGGCGCCGATTTGGCCTACGAGGCGTTGATCGAGAAAGGGCAGATTTTCGCGACCAGACCGCCGGAAAATCCGACGAGGACCATTTTTAGCAGCAACAAGTTTACGGTGAACGCGGCGGTGTACGGGCCGGTGTGGCGGTCGCTGCGGCGGAATTTGGTGCAGAATATGCTCGGAGCGGCGAGGGTCCGGGAGTTCCGCGCCGCCCGCGCGGCGGCGATGGAGAAGCTGGTGGAGAGAATCGCCGCCGAGGCGGAGGCGAACGGCGGCTCTGTTTGGGTGCTGAAGAACGCGAGATTCGCCGTATTTTGTATTCTTCTGGCGATGTGCTTCGGCGTCGAATTGGACGAGGAGACGATCGAGGAAGTCGATTTGATGATGAAGAATGTTTTGATTGTTCTCGATCCCAGATTGGATGATTTCCTGCCGTTGCTCCGCCCCTTCTTCGCCAAGCAGCGGCGGCGCGTGATGGAGGTGCGCCGCCGGCAGATCGAAACCCTAGTTCCCTTAATTGAGCGCCGCCGCCGCGAAATTAGGGATTTGGGGTCGAATCCGCCGCCGCCGGCGGCGAAGATTGCGTCGTTTTCGTACCTCGATACGCTGTTTGATTTAAAAATCGACGGCCGGAAGTCGGTGCCGTCGGACGCGGAGCTGGTGACGCTCTGCTCGGAGTTTCTCAACGGCGGTACGGACACCACCGGGACGGCGATCGAGTGGGCGGTGGCGCGGCTGATCGAGAATCCGAAGATCCAGACGCGCCTCCGCGACGAGATCGTAGCCGCCGTGGGGGAGCGGCGCGTGGACGAGAAGGACGTGGAGAGAATGCCGTATTTAAACGCCGTCGTGAAGGAGCTTCTCCGGAAGCATCCGCCGACGTACTTCGCGCTGACGCACGCCGTGACGGAGCCGGCGAAGCTCGCCGGATACGACATTCCGACGGACGCCAACGTCGAGTTCTTCCTGCCGGGGATCTCCGACGACCCGAAGATATGGCCCGAACCGGACCGGTTCGACCCGGACCGGTTCTTCTCCGGTCGGGAGGAGGCCGACATTACCGGCGTCTCCGGCGTGAAAATGATGCCGTTCGGCGTCGGCCGGCGGATCTGCCCCGGGCTGGGGCTGGCGACGGTGCACGTGAGCCTGATGCTGGCGAGGATGGTGCAGGAATTCGAGTGGTCGGCGGCGGCGGCGGCGCCGGTGGATCTGAGCGAGAAGTTGGAGTTTACGGTGGTGATGAAGAACAGCCTTAGGGCTAAGGTCACGCGGCGGTCGCCGCCGTCCGTACAATAATTATTTAATTAATTAATAATTTATTTGTATTGAATTCAATTGCTGGTGGCTGTTTTATTACGTCAAATTATAATTGCTTGTGTTGTTATTTTTTGAAATTGCTGTTTGTTTGGGAATTTATTTTATTTGTAAAATTGTTGTATTGGCTTTGCTTGGAAAGTATTGTCGTATCTATTTATGGTTTATTTGCCATTATAATGGTCGGCATCTAATTTAGTCATTTTTGTCGCCATAAATAAATTTGATAACTAATTTGAATGTCTATTTCAATAATATTCCTGAATTATTTTAATGAACAAAAACATTAATATATATATATATATATATATGTTGAAGCCTAAAATTTGGATGTTTGACATCTTTCGGGAACTCGGTGGGTGTCGGTTTCGGAAATACTCTAAATAGTCTGTTCGTCATCAGACTAGGAGCGGCTCAGGCGGTGGAGCCGTTGCACGGCTTCGAGCCTAAACGGATGATTTCGATGGTTTAAACTAAAATCTACTAGAAATTCCATAAAAATAAGTTGGAAACATTTATTAACATAAAATAGATTAAAATTAACAAAAAGACAACATAAATTTGGACATAAATGGATAATACTTATAAAATCTATGGATAAACTATGAAAATAAAAGGCAAAATAGTATAAAAATTCCATGTGGTTATCTGAATGTGCTGAAAACCCTATATGATCTTAAAGTTCTATAAAATTTACTTGTGGTTTAAAAAATGTTGCAAAAAACCCTCCATTTTTTGTTAAGAGTTAACGTGAGTGCATTTCACGCGCCCAAACTACAATTTTTTGTAGAAAAATTGATATATTGATATGTGAAATTAAAAAAGTACTCTTCCTAAGGCATTTCAAAATATATTAATTAAAAGAGAAGGACATTTTTAGTTATTTTACTTATATTTTAAAAAAATATAATTAAATAATAATAATAAATAAAAAAGAAAGAAATAATATGTATGTATATGTGTATATATGAGTTTAAAAAAAATAACATAGGTGAAAAAAATATAAGAAATGAGAAGAAGAAAGAAGAAAAAAGACATAGATGGTGGTTCTGTAAGTTTTGATGTAATTTTAGATGTCTATGTTGGAGAAGAAGAAAAAAGAAAGGAAGACGTCGGCGGCGCAGCACTGTAAGTTTTGATGTTATGTGTATGTGTAAGCTTGTGTGTGTGTTTTACGTGCAAATGTCTTTATGTGTGTATGAGTGAAAAAAAAAAAACTAGTTAAAGTCAGAAAGTTGGTCAAATTTCTGCTAAGGACTATAACGTTCCAGACATATAAAATATTAACGTCGTTAGTTTAATTTTGAAGAAAGGAAAAAATGTGCAACATTTTAGAAACCACAAAATAGATTTTATGGAATTTTAAAACCAAATGGAGTTTTCAACACATTCGAAATACTACAGAGAAATTTTATGCTATTTTATCAAAATAAAATAATAAACTTTAAGGATAAGATGTGTCTTCTTTTTGTCGTGTTTGTTGTTTTGTGTTTCTCACTAAATATAACCTAAAATTGCAACCATCTCCTAAATTTTAGGAAATTATTGTAATTATTTCTTCAAACTCTTCATCTATTTCCTCCAACTTATAAACATGGGGATTGAACCATATTTTTCAAGTTTTTGGGAGTTAAGATTAGATTAATCTATAAGTTCCGCCGCCAAGCTCTATTTTTGTCGGAATGTTGTGCAGTAGGGGCGAATGTACGTAGGGGCAGAGCCCTTCCCCCACCCCCCAACAAATTTTTTATTACATATATAATTTTATTTATATATAATCTTAAAAATCATAAGAATAAATTTAAAAAGTGCTAAAAGAATTATATAAAATGTATTTATTTTGAGGTTTTAATTTTGGGTTTAAGTTTTAAATGGTAAAAAATTTAAATTTAATTGTTTAATATAATATAAATAAGTTTTGATATGATATTTTAAATTATTTTTTAGTAAAATATTAAAAAATTAAAACAAAAATTTGATTTAATTTTTTTTATTTTTTGGAAGTAAAGAATAGTAAAAATTCTTTAAAAAGAAAAAAAAAACTCCAATTAAATATGTTTGATGATTTTTCTAAAAGTGAAATAATGTATTTTAAATAATATTACAAAACAATATATATAATTGTTGTCATTATGGTTTGTAATTGTGCAAGGTTTCTAATATATGACAATTCCAAATTATCCGACAATAAATAAATTCTAAGAGTGTTTGTTTTGTGAAATAGTTTGATGAGATTTTCTTTTATATGAAATATAAAAAATTGTGTATGTAATATAAAAATAATACGTGTATAATATATTATTTTTCGTGGAAAATATGTAGGTTTGTTTTGACAAAAAAAAAAAACACACTTAATATTTTTAAAAATTTGAAAGAGTAACCCCCTTCAAAAAAGTCTGGTTCCGCCTCTATCTGCGGCCTGGGAGCTCCGACTCCATTTTTATCTTCGAGTCTTCTTCAAGTTCAGGTGTTTTTGGAGGTATGTACAACAATATAAATGAAGTGAACAAAATTGAATTGTATATGTGAAATGAGTATTTTCTATGATTAAAAATTGGACAGTTACAAAAATTTAAATCTCACCTCTATATCATACTATAGCTTAATTAAACTAGGGCGAGTTGTTGGATTTAAATGAATTTGTTAGATATATGACCTAAGCAATTCAAACAATAACAAATAATTAATCGGCTTTGTTCTTTTTAGAGTTTCATTTAATTTTTTTTTAATAAATAATCATCCATATCTTTATAAATATATATATTTTTATTATTTTTTTTTATAAAAAATTACATTCAAATTAATATTTTAAAAACAAAACCTAATAATTTATTTATTTATGTTTTCGGTCATTCATTGTTTTAGGTACAATTATATTCATTCCGTCAAGTTAATTAAGTATATATTTATTTTTGCATCAAGTTTTTTAAAAAACAATAATATTTTAATTGCAATATGTAATTAAAAATAGTGTATTTTGCCCTTATATTTTTTATATAAAAGTATTGATATGGTAGTATAGTAGAAATATTTGTGAAAAAAATAGTATATTTAATAAAATGATTATTTTGTAATTAAAAATTCAAAATAAATATATATATTTGTGAGTGAACGGAATCGTATGTATTGATGTATCTAACTAATAATATGGACTTTATGTGTCGTTATAACTGATCAAATCAAGTCAAAATTTACTTTGTTGAATAAGTATCGTTTTTTTAGGAGTTAGTTTTCTCTTCTTTTTTTTGGATTCGGATCAGGTGTAGAAAGCTTAGTTTTCAGTACTGTGTTGAAAATAATTTCAACCCTCGGATCTTGAAGGATGATGAATTCTGATGATGATGATGAGTAGGGTTGTGTTGGTGGTGGCAAACAGTTGAGTTTGTTGGTGGTGGACTGGTGTTGATGGTAGTAGCACACGAACAACTGGGTGGAGGAGAAGAAGGGGGTGGTGGTGGAGGAGGCGGCGGCGGCGGTGGCGGCAGTGGTGGTAGAGGAGGACAATTTCGTGGAGATGGAGAAAACGGCGACAGTAGTGTTAGAGGACAGCTTGGATGGAAATGGAAGAGGAGACTGCCGCTGTGGTAGTGAAGGAAAAGAAGAGAAGTTGGTGGATGTGGTGGGTGGAGGTGGAAGTGGCGGTGAAGGAGGAGGGAGTGGTGATAGGAGGGCTGATTTGGGAGGATCAGCATGTGCTGATTTCGAAGTGTTCACCACAGGATCCGGATCTCTTTTTTTTTTATGCCATAAATAAAAAAGATTAAAAAATAAACCATATATGTTGAATAGGGAATAAATATTTGATGTAATAATACATTAAGTTCAATTTTGATTTTGAATGTGATATTTTTAAATAATATATATATGAATCGCATAAAAAAAAAAATATTTTTTATATAATATTTCGAACAGAAAATAAATTGTAAATAGTATTATATTTATTTATTTTTTTAGAAAAAAAAAAAAGGGCTTTATGACAATAGATCAAGTACTGTATACATAAAAGAATAAACAATAATATATAGGCATTTCATATTTTAATCAATTCTACTATTTCATCAAAAAAACTCTGGCATGTCCATGTGCCACCAATTTTATAGAATATTTTTATGATTTAATATATGTGCTGCCACTAAAATGTTACAATTATGCAAAAATATCATTCGTTATCCAAAATAATTAAAATATAATCTAATTAAAATAACAAATTTATATTTTAAAAGTATAAATATATAAAAGCAATATTTATTACTAATATTTTTATATTATCAATAATAATTTATTTTTTAATATTAATATTAATATTTGTATATATTTTATTTTTAATTTATTTATTGTGCCCCAGTAAAAAGAATTTCTAAATCCGCCTCTGAGCATGTCGAAGGACAATGCAGTTGCCGAAAAAGCTTCAGCACAACACGTTGACAACAAGATTCCATGTGACAATCGTTTGGTAACTTTACAGGCTAGCGTGCTGCATAACCAAATACAGGTTGAAATTCAAGCCTCGTTCCATAACTCAGCAACAATTTGTAATGAAGTCGCATGATTTAGGGACGAGGAAGCTCGAAAAGAAAGAGTCTCGGACCGTTAGCTCCAATCGGATCCTCCCATGACTTAGCCATCAGGTACGGCGCCAATCTCCATTTTGCGCCGTTTCAATATAGTCGAAGTAACCATATTGAACAAGGGCAACAGGTCCGGAGTACCTCTGTCATCGAAAAATTAATTAGTTCTTCTCTTTTTTGTGTTATTTTTATTAGAGGTAATCGGTTTTAGAAAAGGTAATATGTGCGTGATGATGTAGTTTTCATAAAGGTAGTTAGTCTCGTTATAGAAAAAATATTGAGAAAATAATTACAGAAATAACGGAGAAGGTGACTGTAAAAAAATACTTTTACCACAACATACTTCACCTATAAAACATAACTGTCAAGTCCCGTAAGGGAGGGCGGGATTAGACATGTGACCGTGAGCTCACATACCAACAATTCACAGAATCATAGGGTGGTAGAAAACTTCGGGTTAAAAAGATCGAAAAAAAAACATAAATTCAATCACAACAGGCAAAGAAAACAAATATCACTTAAGTTCTTGAGAAATGCAACCGAAGACAAACAAAATACCTCACTTTTAACACGGCATTCGCATCCTAGTTAAAAATAAACATCATTCATCGAGGTATCAACACATTCGGATTCATTGTAACATACTAGCTAGCCAATTTCTTGTCAAATGCTCAATTTAAAATATAAAGAAGAATATAAAGTTGCAATAGGTAGCAATGGTAGCAAAGCAAACTCAAACTATCACGAAAAATTAAAAGACAAATGCACATTTTCATAGCAACCAAAGTATGAATTAACGCATAGAACATTATGAATGAACACATAGTACCTGCGTTTGAATCCTCCAAATTATAGAACTCGAGAAAAATTCTCATAATTACTCTCGGGCAATCGTTGCTGTTGATTCTTGTCTTTCGTATTTATGCATAAATTGAATCCAACAACTGCACGGGGTAAGAATCAAGACATTTTCGAATTTAACAATGTCGGATCAGATCAATTGGTTTTTGGGATTTTCCGAATTGAATCTAGATAAGATCCCGGAACAACCAATCTCAACTTCCTCAAGAAACCACACTCATCTGCATCGAATGCAGATTCAATTCTCAATTTTGTCGCAACAAGAACGAAATTCTCGCCATTTCCAACATCGATCTCGTACAGCTCCTCAAACACTTTCCCAACCTCACTAATCAACCCCTGATAACTTAACTTGCTCAAAGGTATCACATTTATTATCAGAGCTCCCTTGTCGCATAGAATGCCATTGATGGCTCGAAAAACAGACTCAGAAACAAACTGACGAGGCGGCGCGCAAACGCCGAACTCTGCGTCATCAGAATCTAAATCAACCATAACTACATCAAACTTATTCCCCTCAGCTACATCAATGGACAGATCATTAACATATTTAATTGCATCTTCGACGATCAAATCGATTGTGTCATTGCATTCTAACCCAAAATATCTCTTCGCCACTTGAATCACGGCGGCGTCGGCCTCGACGCCGACGACCTCAAAGCTCAATTTGGTATGCAGAAACATAAGCAGAGCTCCTCCTCCAACCCCCAAACATAAGGCCCTTGGAACAATTCGATCTTCCAAAAAATTACAGAGCACTGAAATTCCTGCAACCATGGGGATTAGATACGGCTGAACTAATTCGTTGGAGTCTAAATCAAATTCCATGGAATCCAAGCTCTCGAGCTTTGATTCTTCCTTTGGATGGATACTAATCTGAGTTTGGATGAAATTCGGCATTCTCTTAAACCTCAGCCGCCTCCTAAACTCCTTACCGCCGTCGATTTCCAGCTCGACGTTCTCGATCAACATCTCCCCAACGCGAGGCCCCTCGCAAATCTCCAAAATCGAGCTTCGAATTACCTCATCTTCGTAGTCTAAGAAAACCGCCGGTTCGGGAATTTCTCCGGTCGCTGATTTGGGGGTTAGGGCTAACAACAGCGGCGCCAAATTCCGCGGCGGCGCTGCGGAATTAGGTATGACGGTGGAATAATCGTAGGAAATAGGGTGCGGGGAGGCCTGCGGGTTGCCAATTAAGATCAGGCGGGAGAGAGGTTGGGAGGTGGGGGAAGAGAGGAGGAGCTGGAGGTGGCCGGAGAAGGTGGAGAAAATCCAGTCGGATTCGCGGCCAAGTGGAACCCGCATGGCCGCTGTAGAGGCGGCGGCATCCTCAGAGGCGGCGGCCGGCGAATCGAGGACAGCAATCCGGTGGGGATGGCCGGGAATTGTGAAGGCGATGTATCGGGAAGGCACTAGGGTTTCGAAGGTCGATGGGATGAGTGCCATTCACAGTTCACATGACATTTTTCCTGATGTGTTTTCCCTAATCATCATCAAAACTGAGATTAAAACCTAATTCCACCGATTGGATAAAACCTAATTCCATCGATTGGATAAAACCTAATTCCATCTATATTCCCCAGCCATAATACATCATCCTTCCTAAATCTCAACCATCGAAACCAAACCAAACCTACAGTGATTCAACCAAATTGTGATCCAGATCATCAATAATCTATCTATTTCCCCAACCACGGATCTGTCAACTTACACAGATGAAGAGGAAATGTCGAAGAGCGGCGCCTCCCAACCCGACCTCTCCGGCCGGCAACGAATCCCTCCTCAACAAAATCGAATCGAGCGCCGCAAATTGTGCCACCAAATAAATTGGAAAAGCCTACTACCGGCGATTCAATCAATCCTCTCTCTCCTCAAAATGCTTCTTCTACCATCGATCGATCGATCGATTCGACTAAGATCATCTCCAACCCCATGGGGTGTAAAAAATGGGGGGCAGTGACACTGTACCTCCACTCGAAAATGGAGTGGAGTTTTTGGTGTATTTTTTATATTTTGGGTATTGAATGGTGTAATTTTAATTTTTCGGTATATTATATAATTTTATTTTTTAAAAAATTGTGATATAATTATTGTGCTGTTGTGTTATAATGGTTGCGCTCATGTAATATATTTATTTGCTCTTGTGATAAAAAAAATTATGTTTTTGTTATATGTTCTTGTGATATAATGGCTGTGCTTTTATGATATAATGGTCATATAATGATTGTGCTCTTGTGATAAAATAATTGTGCTCTTATGATATAATGATTGTACTTTTGTGATATAATCATTATATTCTTGTGATATAATTGTGGTGCTTTTGTGATATAATGATTGTGCTCTTGTGATATAATGATTATATTATATTTGTCTTGATAGTATTTAATTATTTATTTAAAATAATTTTATTTGTAATAATTATTAATTATAAATATTAATTTTCATATATGTAACTTTTAAATAAAATATAAATTATATGTATATGGACCTAATGCAAAGATAAATTAAAATTTGGGTGTAATTTATAAATATAAAAAATTATATAAAATAATATAAAAAATGAATATATAGAAAATATACGTTTTTTTAGAGTAAAAATTGAAATTGATGATTAGACTATAATTTTACTGTAGCAACTGTAAAAATGAAGAGAAAATTTGGAGATGGCCTTAACAAGCTTTTTTTCCCGAAATTTAACGTCTTTCTTTCTTTTGTGCGACGTGCCACGGGCTTTTTGACAGAAGAAAGGCGAAAGGAAAAGTAGCATGTCGGGATAGTGTGCACCTTGTTCTAATCGGTCGGGTCGGGTCAGCCCAAATTCAAGTGTTCGTTGATAAGGAGAGAAAAAAATATATATATTTTTAATATAATATGAATATATATTATATATATTAATTTTTATTTAATATATAAAATTACATATAGAAATAAATATTTTATTTAATTTTTTTATTTTAATTTTATAAAATAATCAATATATGATTTTTTAAAATTTTGTATTATAAAATAATTATATTTTTCTAATAATGATTACATAATTTTTAATTTTTAATATATTAAAATTTTATTATATAAAATAAATAATAATTTTAATAAAATGAAAAATAATAAAAATTAGGGGACGTAAAATTCGGTTCTACAATGTAAGTGAAAAATTGAATGAGTTTAGGGTAAAATCGTACTTGTTTGTTATTCATTTTAAGATACAAATTAATAGATATGATTTTAATTAATATATTACTATATTTATTGATTGTAATATCGGTAAATTGAAGATAATTATCTAAACCATCGAAATTTTTTCTAAAACTACCCCATCTTATTTTATTTCCCTAAAACTCCATTTACATATATTTATATTTTTTTAATTCCAAATTTCTATTTTTACTCTCGGTCGCCCGCAATGACTCTCCATAAAAGGTAAGTGTGTGTTTTAAATTTTGTATTATTCTCTAATTTTAATTTTATTGGTAGTATTATTTGCTTCTTTATTGTATTCTATGTATTCTATTTTTTTATTTTTTGTCTCGATTGTATTTTCTCGCATTAATAATAATTTTATGTGTTTGTTGAATATAATATATTGATTTTTTATGTTAAAAATTTTCAATTTGTTGAATACATATTGTTTTGTTTTTGTAGGAAATTTATAGAAAAAGAATATCGTAATTGAAAGAAAATAGAAGAAATAATTGTTGATGATTATAAGATAATTATTGATAAATATATTTTGAGTCCGACCAAATCTTGTTAGTAGGGCCAATTTTTGTGCATTAGTGGTGTAACGTTGATCATTGTATATCTTATAAATATTCAATTTTTTGTTGATTAAATATTAAACTTAAATTGTTTGTAGCTTTCACTTATATTTTAATTTGATTTAGCAAGGAAACGAAATAATATCTTAAATAAGCTCAAAATTGTTTAAAATATTACTATTATATAAAATTTTATTATATTTAAAATGATGTCTATATTCCATATATATTTTATTGATATATAATTATAAAAATATTTAAAATATCAACAACATTACTCATATAAAAAATAACAAAATAATATCATAACTTATTATTAATAACACAGTGATCTACACTATCTAAAATAATGTATCCCTAACAAAATGATTCATTTTTTACGGGCTGGAAGTATTAGATTTGTTATTATATTTTAATTTTGTAATATTTTTATAATTTTTAAAATTTTGTATTCCATGAAATTATACTAATAACAAATATATTTTATTAATTAACATTTTAACATAAGTATATAAATAGTTGATTTTAGCAACAGCCTTGTGGGTATTTCCTTCCTCAGTGAAACCCACTCTCAATCGCTCTTTTTAGGTTGGCTGCCACCGTTGGAACCAATGAAGCAAATGATTGACCATGAAAACATCAATTTGGATTTGGGTATAGAGGGTTGGTCCCAAGAGATCCTTCTAGTAAGAGCAAGATAGATTTTTTGAAAAACCCTAGATAGGAAAAGAAAACTATGGTGGACCCGCCGCAAGAAAGGAACGTCAGATTGGTTCGAATCCAATTCGTGAGATAGAAATGATCTTAAGAGGGACCTAGCTAAATTCTCGAACAGGTGATTCTGTAGTCGCAGCTTACTCTTTCTCGAGGTGGGATACCCAAAGACTCGTCGAATCAACTCAACTACTGCTAGCGAAAGAGATTCATTTTCAATCCACCAAAGGGACTAAATCTTGAATTGCCAGTACAGTGATTTCCGGTCTTCCTCACCTGTTCTAGTGACATAGGATATTTTCTAGAGGACCGACGTAAACAAGCTCGCGACTCTAATAGAAAGAAAGGGTAAGCTCTCTATTTGCTTGCAATGCTATGCCTATCAAAGAAAGTAGGTGAAGGCTTCCTTAGCGGCCAACTACTCATTACGCTGTTTGACTTCACTGGGGTTGGACGAATTATCCGAAGAGGATCGTTTAACCGTAGCAAGAGCGCGAAAAATTGGATACCTATCCAGAAGTTTTCCCAACTCAATCATAGATGATGGAATCATCAAAGATTTGACCTTTTCGAACTCTCTCTGTAACTCACTAGAGGCCCGGGAAACAAAGATGAGACAATTCGGCTACTAATCTCACTCTCGGCGCAAAATTTTTTCCGATCTTGAGTCTGCTAACCCGACCTACGACCAGATTGCTTACATTTTCTGTTGCACAATTGGACTCCTCTCAAACATAGAGTTAGTAAGTCCAACAATCAATCAGAGCTGCCGGGCTCAGCGAATGCAGCCTTCACTCATTCTTGGGCCTTCGGGGCCCTTAGGGACGACTCCAGTCAAGCAATACAAAGAATGACATTGACCGGCCAAATATCACGTAGAAAAGACTAGCGAATGATGGCCCACTCCACCCAAGACGAAGTAGGTGACTTTGGAAGCTCAAAGAAGATCTCAATAAGCAGAAAGACCGGCATTGTTCACTAAAAAAGGGTTGTATGGATCTAAGCAGGAAAGATGCTGATTGGAACTTGGCGCTTCTTCAATCGGCAGCAACTCAGGAACCCGTCCAGGTAGGTTTGCTCAGGTTATGGCAGGTGCCTGGGCTACGAATACTTGCAAAGAGCTTATTAGCGTATTCGTTCACTGCTGTCACTTCCTTCTTACCATTTCTCTTCGAAAATCTCTACAAAACCACAGCGCTCCGCGTTCTATCTAAGTTCCGCTCTTACGTACGCCCCACCTCACATAGAAAAACCCGTGTGAGTGGGAGAGAACCATCTCGTCTTACGCGATGTTGTTGCCCGACGATTGCTACTAAGAACCTAATAGAACTTTGTGGCTCTTGGCCCAGACAACGTCCTAGGCGAAGAAAGCTGAAGCCTTTTTAAGAAGTGTATTAGTAAAAATAATTATTATTTAGTAAAAATAATTATAAATTAAGATAACTAAATAGTTTAATTAAGATAAAAAAATTTTAATTTTAAAATATAATTAAAGTGTATAATCAATTTTCTAAAAAATGAAAGGACAAATTATGTAGGACGGAGAAAATAGAAAATAGGGACAACTCATGTGGGACGGAAGGATTATAACATTGGAAAATGTATCCGGTTGATATAGCAAAAAGATAAAGCAATATAGAGAACAAAAAGTAGATACTAATGCTCTAGTATTTTGGGTATGTTTCTCCAAGGGGTCCCTGTTTTTTTTTTAAAATAAAATAAAAATAAATTTTTATTTAATATTTATTATAATTAAATAAAAATATATATATATACAATATATATGTCATTTTGTAAAAAATAAAATTTTTATAATATAAATAAATAAAAATTTAAATATATATATGTTGTGTATAATATAAATTCATAATCAAATCATACAATATAAATTTTATCAATTAAATTTAATACACATTTATATTATTTTATTCATTATCCGTCAAATCAATACACATCAAAATTCTCCAAACTCCAACCAAACCCAAACACACAAGAAACAACAAAATCCAAACTAATCACAAAATCCAAATAAAAATCAAACCCAAATTCAATTTTTCCCAAACTCTGTCCAAGAAACATACTTGTGTTTGAATTAATATAAATTTGAATTTTTTTTAATAATTTATTATTGAAAAACGTATATAAATAATAATTTTAATTTTAATTTAAAATCACAGCCAATACATTCATTTATGATTTTTGTTTATATGTATAATTAATAACTTTCACCAACATTTATTTGTTCGGTAAAATCAAACAAAATAATTAAATCCCAAACAAACATGCTCTTTATTTAGAAATCTGATAGTAATTTTTTTTATTATCACATGTCATACTAAGTGTGATTTATTTTATTGGTTAGTTTGCAGATTATTTGGTTCAACAGGGAGTTATCCGGATCTTACCCAAATGACAACGGTTGTGGATTTCTACGTCTTTAGATTTCACATGCCATACATGGAAATTGCAGAGTATTAGATTAGACCGCGATGGGAATATTAATTATTAAATACTAATAAAAATATATGTGTATTTTTCTCTTAATTTGTATATAGTAATTAATATTCAAAACTTAATAAAATAATAAATAAATGTAAACTTATGACTTATAAACATTATTATGAAAATATTAAAATAAATATGTACTCTCTCCGTCTGGTTAAAGGTAAGCATTTATTTTTTTGGCGCATAGTTTAAGAAATTCTCCATTCATCCCACTTAATTTATCAGCTATTTTTATTTTCGTCTGTCCCCACGTAATTTTTCCTTTCAATTTTTTTTAAATATAATTATATACTTTAATCAAATTTTTAATTTTTTATTATTATTTTAATTAAATTAAATTATTTTGTCATATTAATTTTAATTTATAACTATTTGTATTAAATTATAATTATTTTTACTAATATACTTCTTAATTACTTACTAATTACACAATATATAAAACTTCGTGTCTAAACAAAATAAGACAATTAAGTGGGATGGAGAGAGCAATAATATATTAACGATATCGGGTAGTTAAAAGTAGTGTAATATATAATTTTTTCTAGCATGACGTATATAAAATAAACATTTATAGTAAGTTTATAATAAAATATTACTTCATCCCAGATATTTTGGGCTTATTAAAAAGTGTATTAGAAAAAATAATTATTATTTATTAAAAATAATTATAGATTAAGATTAAAATAGGTAAATAGTTCAATTAAAATTAAGAAAAAATTTAAAATGTAATTAAAATGTATAATTATATTTTTAAAAATAAAAATAACAAATTATAGGACAGACAAAAATAAAAATTAATGAAAAATTATATGAGACCGGAGGCGGTACATATTTACTAAAACAAAAATATTTTATAAAAAATAATAATATATACTTAATAAAAGATTATTATTTTTATTTAATAAACTTAAGTAGGATAGTTATTTACTATTTTCGTCCAATCTAATTTATCACATTTGAATGAGCTACATTTTAGATATAATATAATTAGTAAATAATTAAAAAATATATTATTAAAATATTATAAAATTTAAAATATAATTAATTTGTATAATTATATTTTTTTTAATTAGGTGGATAAAAAATAATAGAGATAAATTATGGGACGGACGGATTACTTCAATTAAAAAAAATAAAAAAATTATTTTTTTTATTTAATAAACTTAAGTAGGATAGTTATTTATTAAACAGTTGGCATAGTGAGCGAATTGGGTAGAGAGAGAGAATAGTGGTGAAGAGAAGGGGAGCAGAGCATTGGGTGTGGGTGGAAGAAGGAGCCACATTTTGGTATCAGCCTCCATCGTCAGCACCATCATCATCACCATCAGTAGTAGCTCAGAATCAGACTCACAGAGGAGAGAGATACAGATACAGATAGAGATAGAGAGAGAGAGGACAAAACCGATTCTGGTGATGCTCGGCGTATTCTGCGCCCGTCCAAGGCCTTGTTTCCTCGTTTCTCACTACGCCCACGGCCTCGCCGCCTCCTTTGATCGACTCCTCCGCACCTCCTCCCTCCACCACTCGCCGCCGCCGCCGCCGCCGCTTCTTCGAGATCCCACCTACCGCGCCCCCTTTCAATGTCCTCCCCAGGGCACTGGAGCCGCTTCTATTTGGAACTCCCTCCTGCCTTCCTACTGGCGTCGCCGCCGCGCCGCTCTCCTCAGCCGACACGACCACGACGCCGTCAATCCGGGGGAAGGCTCCTGGAACGTTGCGTGGGACGCTAGACCGGCGCGGTGGCTTCACCATCCGGATTCGGCTTGGCTCCTCTTCGGCGCCAGCGCGAGCATGGCCGCCGCGCACGTGGTGGAGTCCGAACCGACTTCCGAGGTCTCCGTGCCGGCGGAGGAGCTTATTGCAGAGAAGCCTTGTAAATATCGGGTGATTGGTGAGACAAATCGTTCTGATTGATTGCTTGATTCCATTTTGATGCTTATTTTGCCGAAATCCTATCTTCAGATTGTGCTTGAACTCCTTGCTTGTGTCGTATTCATTTTTTGTTGTTTCGTTTTGCCTTTTTGTTCTTCTGCTCGATTTCGAAATTAACTGTAATAAGCAATTCTCGTTATCATCTTCCTCCAACTAACACGCCTCAGAGATTGTTGGATCATCGTTTTTCGTTCTGTTGCAGGGGTTTTAGCAGATGGAAGGTGTTTGTTCAGAGCAATAGCGCGCAATGCCTGCTTGAGAAATGGTGGAGAAGCTCCAGACGAGAATCGTGAGACAGAGCTTGCTGATGAATTAAGAGCTCAAGTACACACATATTCATATATATATACATACATACATACATACATATTCAATTTTTGTTTGTCAATCTATGGTAGCATAGATTATATGTTTTATTGACTGTGTTCATGTGTTCAGGTGGTCGAAGAGCTGTTGAAGAGGCGAGAAGAAGTAGAGTGGTGTGTCTCGAGAATTTTCATATAAAGTCTTGACTGAATGATTTTTTGGTTGAAAAAACTTGGTTTAATCAAGATGTTGTTACCGCTGTGTGTTCTAGGTTTCTTGATGAAGATTTCGATAAGTATGTGAAGGGAATTGAGCAGCCCTTTGCCTGGGGTGGAGAACCTGAGTTGTTGATGGCTTCACATGTTCTTAGGTGAGTCTTGTTAGGGCTTATCTTATTATTTGTATGTTTTGTATGAGAGATTGAAATGAATTAGAATATCGAGGGGGAGAGCTTACTTTATCCCGGGAGGGATGTAATTTGTCGAAGAATTATGGAATGGATTGATTAACCAAGCAAATAACAACATTGGTGAATTTAGATTCATTTACAAAACTTAAATGATTGTAGTAATTGATCCTTGTAGTTAGAAGTTAGACCCAGTGATTATGTAAATGATATCTCATGATAGAATGTATGCAATCTTTTAATTCTGCTAATCGTTCATGTTAATTATGCTATTTATGTGAATTCGAGTTGTTTTGAAGCATGCTTGTGGGTCAATTAGTGCATTTCTGAATTTTCTTCTTCTTTAGCTATGAATTCCTCGGTATCTTATGCTTTTGATCAAATTATGTTAGAGGGTTATATTCAAGGCTGATTCTGGTCGAAACTTCCATATATTGTCGGCAAATTGTAGGTTTGTTTCGGTCCTAGGCTAATATCCTTGAGAATTCACTTGATCTGTTTTAGCTATTTGTGTAACACATCATTTTAGCCTATCAATTGGATTCGTTTTCAAAGGGATACATCACTCGATCAAGATAAGAAACTTACGATAGTTTTATTTGATTCTCAGTTCAAAGGTTTTTATTGCCTCCTATTAGACAGCACCGAAAGAAAAATTACAATATGTCATGAATCTCTAGTTAATGCTCATACATTTGTGGAATGACGTGTGACACAAATTTATATATGATCTCCAACGAATTGGAATAATACCATATATAAAAACACGTTGGAGATTCGAGCATGCTTTTTGGATTATGGTTATCTTTTCTTTAAATTCCTGATTCCGGCGCAGACTTATTTTGTGTGTACCCAATATAATGTGCTATATTGTTGAACGCTATCTGATACAGTTTAATTACGTCATTTTGTTCGAAACTTCTGGATATCATTGTCTAATTAAATGTTGGTACAGGACTTCCATATCCGTGTACATGAAAGAGGAGGGCACTGAGAATTTCATAAAAATCGCGGATTATGGTAAGGAGTATGAGAAAGACGAGGAGGACAGTCCCATCAACGTTGTTTTTCATGGATATGGTCATTACGACATTTTGGAAACAATGCTGGAGTCCAGGTAGATTCAAGATTGAAAAACTCGGACCGTTAGGCAATTATTTTACCCGAATAAGAAGTAACTGAAATGCACTCAGTTGAAGCAATTTTTTTTCGACTTCATCTTTCTCTAATACTTGAAATTTCTGTCGAATGCGATGAAATATATATGTTCGCCGTTTTGTCTTCTATATCAAGATAGATGCCTAAGAGATGTGCGCCGCATAATTTGTTAATCTTTATAAAATGTATAGTTTCTCGTAGCCTAATCTATCTATGGCTTTCGAAACTCGGAGAATTTCTTATATCTGCCCGTAGTTGGTGTTACATATACACGGAAATGAGTTTAGGACGCCCGATCGAACATGTATTACCATTGCCTATGTAATAGAGTCCGGCGCACGATTTTTATTTATTTTTTTAGATAACGTGGGAATCCGCAGCCGCTATTCTTCGGTGTGCGACCTTTATTTATTTTTTTAGATAACATGGGAATCCGCAACCGCTATTTTTCGGTGCGCAATTTTTATTTATTTATTTTTTAGATAATGTGGGAATCCGTCAGCGGCTATTCTTCGGTGCGCGATTTTTATTTATTAATTTTTAAATTTTGTGGTTTTCTTGATTCTTTTCTTGAGTTAGCTAGAGTATGAAAGAAATAGTTGGCAGTTAATTTGTGTAATATTTGTTGGTTACGGTTACACAACACATTGGGAACAAAATAAAATTATTTAGGAGCTGAAGATTGTATTTCCTTTACTTGAGTAAATAATCATGTTGTGTTCATGTGTTAATTAGTATAAAGATTATTTTATTTATTTAACTGTGGTTGATCTAATTTTATAAAATTAATTTATATTAATCTTATGTAAATATATATTTTGTATTTATTTGTATTATATACACTTCAGCCAAAAAAAATAAACACATTTTTCACAACAGAATTTAACATTAAAAATATTTTTATATTTGTATAATTTATTTTATATATATTATTGTATTTCTATTATAAAAAATTAATAAACGTATTTTTATTTTTATATTTTTTTTAATTACATTTTAATATAATAATTAATATTAAAAAATTAAAATAAAAAAAATTACTGTGTACTTTATGATTGGTTTGAAGTAGTATAATTCTTTTTTTCATTAAAGTATTTTTTTTAAAACACATTAATATATATATATTTAATTAAATATATTATATCATAACTTAAATATTAACCAAACAATCTAAAATGATAACTAAGCTGACTTTTGATTCTCAATTTTGATTCAATACTTAATTTTTTATTCAAAATATTATATTTAACTATGATTTCACACTAAAAAAGAAAGTACCGGTCAATTATTATTGTTTTCAATATTGTTTTATTATAATTTATTAATAATATTTATATTTTTTTACAAATATTATATTAAATAATTATTTTTATTTAAAATATTATATTAGTGTTTTGTTAGTTAGTTTCAAACTCACATTTTTTTATTGACTAATTATTCCAAAAAAAAATATTAAACTAAATATATATTTTTTGTATTATATAAATAAAAAATATTTTTTATTTAAAATATCAAATTAAAATTTATTTATATTATATTACAATTATTTCAATCAAAAATTTATTATTCTTAATCTCAAACATAGCTATCATACCTACAAATTAACAAACTCTATTGTTTTGTGAAATTGCTGGAAATAAAAAAAATAAAATAAAATCATGTGAGATATAGCCAATGTGTGTTGAGAATATAATAATAATAATGAATATGTGTAGTATATTAATTTTTTTTTAAAAAAAGAACAAAGACTATTTATTCATTTAACAATTATTTTTATTTTTTTACTATTCAATATTTACAATTTTTTATTAAAATATAATTTTTCATCACCCAAATATATGCTCAAATATTCAAACATAAATTTTAACAAAAATAGTTAATAATTATTAATTTTTGTCTTTTATAATAAAAAATACAAAAAAAATGCACTTTTTTTTTAATTAACAATAATAATAATATTTTTTATATGATAATTCATAAGAAATGAGCATATCGTTTTAAATGACGAAAAGATATTATTTTTATTTAAGAAAACATATTATAAAATTATTAAAAGCATTGTAAAAAAAAATTTGATGGTGCATGTATCTCCAGCATTAGAATTATGATTAAAGTTTTACATACTTCCCTAAATAAAATTTATATTTCAATTACAATACTAACAAATATTTCCTAAATAAAATTTATATTTCAATTACATATATAAAATTTAAAGTTACCATCTATTTTTGTCTATAACATAGAAAATTATGTAGAAAATATAAAAATAATAAATATGTATAATATATTATTTTTTAAAAAAGATATACGTAAATTTTTTTCAAAAAAAAAACACACTTTTATTATAACATAAAATATGGAACAAATAGAATAATTATCTTTCTTTACAAAATATTACATAGAATCCAATATTCAAATCAAAACATAAAATCTAATTTCAAGTAAATTCACCATATGTATTTTTTCATGTGTTTATGTAAATATTTAAAATTTATTATACTATTCATTTAAATTTATTATAAAGTTGTCCATTTTAAAATTTTCTCAATTTTCAAACACATCATTTTTATTATTCTTAAAGAGGCATAGGGCGTGTTTTTTTTGTAAAATATTTTGAAGAGATATTTTTTATATGAAGTATATGAAATTGTGTAAATAATATAAAAATAATGAATGTATATGATATATTAATTATTTTGAAAAAACCGATATGGGAAAAAAAATATATAAAGAGAACACATTTATACTTATACAAAATATTACCGAAAACAAATATTTTATGAGGAATCGGGATATTATTGATTTATTTTTGAAACTAAAAAAAAAATAATAAAATACTTTTCAATATCTAACAATAAAATTTATAAAGTTTTTTGTTTTGATTTGATTCGAAATGTAGATGGTAACTTTAGTTTTCGTTTAAATATTATTTTTATTTGATAATTTGTGAGAAAAAATAATATAGTTTTATAGAAAATCATGAAATCAATAGTAGAAATTTTTTTATTTGAAAAAAATAAATAAATAAATAAACAGGTCGTTTCTTTTTGTATTTTATAATAATTTTTATTTTTCCTAAAAAATCGAATAATAGTTAAATATAATATTTCATAAATAAATAAATAAATATAATTTTATTGGAAACTTTCATATATATATATATATGAAATGAAAAAATTAGAGTTTGTATGTTTAGTGCTTACATTTTTTTTATTTTTATTGTTAGATACAAAAAAATTGTAATAATTTTATAGAAATGATATTTTGTATGTTTGATTTTTTTTTTATTATATATGTGTAGTAATCGATTTTCATTAGACGATACTTCCTCAGTCTCACATAAAATGTTTATATTTGCAATTTCTGTTCGTTCTATATAATTTTTTCTTTATTTTTTTAAAAATATTATTATACACTCTAATCATATTTTAAATTTTATAATTTATAATTTATTTAATATTAATTAAATTATTAAATTATTTTAATTTTAATTTATAATTATTTTTATCAATATTTTTTAATTACTTACTATTTTTTTTTAAAAAATTGTGTTTATAATAAAATTGAAAAATATTGTGGAATAGAGGTAGTATTTATTTGTTCAATAATATTGTTCAGGAACAGTGCTACTTATTTAAATATTTAATAATAAAAAATAATGATCACACATATGAAGTGGGGAATATTCGTCTTCGGTGTGTTTTCCGTTGAACGGTTACGGTCACGTGTTAAAAACACGTGATTTTTCTGTAGTAATGCATGGATTAAAAAAAAACAAAAAAGTGTATGGATACTTGGTTTGTATTGTTACACGTGGATCTCTATGATTGCTTAAAAATTGCATGACTTTATCATGTCATTAATTATCGATCCATCAAAATTATACTCCCGTCTCAAATCAAATAAGCTTTTTGAAATTTTGTACTTCCTCTATCTCTCCGTCCTAAATAAGGTGCAATATTTATTTTTGATACGAGTTTTTAAGAAGGTAGTATTAAGTAGGATAATTTAGAAATTAAGTGATTGAATGGAGAGAGAAATATGTATTTTTTTTTTTATTTGGACGATGTGAGAAGATAAAATGTGGGGTAGAGATCAAGTATAATTAATTATTTTCTATTTTGAAAATATTGTAGAGGATATACCAAAAAAAATATATTGCAGGGTGTTTGAGACGGAGGAAGTATAAATTAAAAAATATATATTTTTTATTAGTCAGTGAAATTAAAAATATTTTGTTATTAGTATAGAAGTATATTTACTTTTTAAATAAAAAATATATATTTTGAATTGACAAAGTAAAAAATTTTATCCGTTAATCAATAAGTTTATTTATTTATAATTTTATCTCTTATTTTAAAAATAAAAATATAATTCTTTAAATTTTACGTGTCAACCAAACACACATAATTTTAAAAATATACTCCAATAATATTTGTTTACTACTTATACATGCACTTTGGCTCTATCTGTGTTTGTGTTCTAGCTATGATATTATTATTCATTAATATTCTATCGTTTGAAAATAGTAAATTAACTACTCCCTCTGTCCCATAACAAGGTATTTATTTACTTTTTGAGTCATTATACTTAACTTTAAAAATATTCTTATATTTGTATAATTTTTTATATAAATGTCATTATATTAGTATTATAAGACACTAATAGAAATATTTTTACAATTTTTTCTTGATTTGTAATAAATTTTGATATAATAATTAGTATTCAAAGATCAAACATGAAAAAAATATATGAATACTTAATTATGAGACAGAGAGTATTAATTATGTTTTTATTTTATATTACGGTTAAAATTAATTTTATATTTAAAATATTACATAATATTTATTTATAACATATTAAACAATTTTTACAATTCAAAACCTTAAACTCACAAATACAATTTTTGTTCTTTTAAAGTATGATTTATCTTTTATTTCTTCGATTGTATATGGTCTTTTATAAAAATAAATAATGTATTTTTATAAAGATATCACAACAATTATATTTAGAGTATGTTTGGTACATATAATAAATTTACAGTGAAACAAGAATAGAAGATAAAATTGCATAGAAGAGGTAAATTCTAAGAGTTATTGAACAATACAAGTAAAATTGCAAAAAATATCAGTAGTTTGTGAAATTTGCTGAGAAAATATTTTGGTTCTAAAATTTCAATTCATCTATTTGTGGTTACAAAAATATTTCACACTCGCCCCATTCAAAAGTAGACCGATGGTGTTGATATTTTGTTGTTGTGGACCGTTATATCTCTATTGAATTTTTACTTAGGCAAAATTACGGGAGGGGTAAAAAGTCATACTAAGATATGTTTGAAGTGTCTTTAGATGATAACCTTCCCTCATAACTTCAAATTGTCAAATGAAGTTCTGAGATCGAACTAGGAAGAGAAGCCATGTGAAAATTTAACGGCAAAGCCAAATCGGAATACTAAAAGAACCACAAGCCTCCGTTTGATAATATTGCACACTTACCCCTCCTCATTGGTCCACAAAATTTCTTTTGCAAATCACTTATGAGCAAGGTGAAGGTAATTTAACAAAAGACTGAGGAACGAGGGTAATAAATGATACACTTACGGTCGACGGAGGCCATCGGAATTAGAATGACGCAGAGCGGTGAGCTCAATTTTGTAATTTTCTTCTTTCTAATTTGGGATTTCTAATCATGCTCGGAGTAACGAGGCGTTTTATATAATATTTATTAAATACTAACGAAAGAGATAATTTTTGTAATATTTTTAAAACTACAAATAGATAAATTAAAATTTTAGAACTTGAGAGTTTTTTCAACAAGTTTTGCTATACACGGGCAAATTTTTTTAATTTTGCCTAAAAATCTTGGGTCTTGTAATAGTAAAATAAATAAAACTTGGGATGACCTCGTAGATACGAGAATTTGAGTAAAATATAATTAATAAATAATTAAAAAATATATTAGTAAAAATTATTATTATACTCCTTCCGTATGACTATAAGGATCTCATTTATTTTTTGCGTCATTGTATTTAATATTAAAAATATTTTTATCTTTGTATATTTTTTTTTGTACAAATGTTAGTATAATAATTAATATTCAAGTATCAACACTCAAAAGTAAATGAAACCCTTAGAGCCGGATAAAAGTAGTATAATATAAATAATTATAAATTAAGATAAATAACTAACTAATTTAGTTTAGATTTTAAAAAAATGATTATGAAATTTAAAATAAGATTAAAGTGTATAATATTTTTTTTTTAGAAAAAATGACATAAAGTGTAACATACAAAAATAAAAATAATAGACAAATAAAGTGAAACGAAGAGAGTAAATTTTATAAGTGTTTCTAGTTTATATTTAAAATTTGAAATTTATTTAAATTTTAATATAAATAATATTTTGATATAATATTTTTTAAATAAAATAATACTCCCTCCGTCCAACTTCTCATGTCCATATTTCCATTTTCGTCCGTCCCACTTATTTTGTCACTTTTCTTTTTTGGAAAATAATTATACACTTTAATCTTATTTTTAAAAATTTAATTTATAATTTTTTAAATTTTAATTATACTAATCAATTATCTTAATCTTAATCTATAATAATTTTTATTATACTATAATTATTTTTACTAATACATTTTTAATTATTTAGTAATTATATCCCTCCTAAATTCTCGTATCTACAGTAAGGCGGATAAAATATCCGGAACAGAGGAAGTACTATATTTTAATTGAAATTTGTGATGGATGACTAATAATATTTTGGTTTCTTAATTTGATTTTATCATATATATATATTATTAATAAAATACCGTATATCCAAAAAATATTAGAAAAAATATTTTATTAAAAATTTTGAGAAAAAGATATAAACGTTGAGATCACCGATCTCCTGTATATTACATAAGATTACTAGACTAAATAATAAAATATACTCCCTCCGCAGTCTTGATTGGATTGGACACCGAATTAAAAAATATTGATAATAATATTGGTAGTTAGATAAAATCGTATTGATAAAAAATTTTTTTTTGCAGAAATAGTAACAATTGTATAATAAAAATAAAAAAAATAAAAAATAATTTTAAGGTGATACGTTTATTTATGAAAATAAAAATATTATTTTGAGATGAAAAAAAATAGTAAACAAACTGTTATAATGGAATAGAGTATAATTTAAATAAAATACTTTTTTTGTCATTCAAATTTATTCTTTTTTTTTTTTTTATCTATCCAAATTTATTCTCGTTACTTTTTCTGGTAAAAAGATATTACTTTTTCTATTTTTTTTATCCAAAAATATAAAATTTTTTATTTTTATCTATTTCTCTTAAAATTATACTGGTGAACATACAATTGAATGACGAAAAAAAAATATATATATAATATAAAAATATATATAGATATTAATTTATATATTCATTATAGAAGCTAACTTACTCTATCAAACCAAATCATTTTTCATAACTTGTCAAAGTTTCTAGTTCCTAACGATAACAAACACTACTTCAATTTCACAACAAAACTTCATATTCTGCATAAAAGTAAACAAAACTTACAGAGACTTGCAGATCAACAATCTTCTTCCAGTTTCTGCATCATATCAAAGCATCCAGTCCCTACTTTCGCAGGCAACCCCAGGCAAATCCGAGACGACGGCGTTTCCAAGCTGTCGACCAAACCGTGGGACGCGGCCTCGACTATAAACTTGGAAGCCGTCTCGAATGACATCTTGAGAAACGGCGACAACGACTCGGAAATGCTCCCGTGCCTGCTCATTGGCCGGTACCCTCCCGTGTGCGTCATGTAATCTGCAATCAAGCTCAAGTGACGAAAATCAATTTTTACTCCGTAAATGTCGAAGACTTGTTTCACCTCTCTTATTACAGTAGCTCTTGCGGCTTCGACGCCGTATGTTTTCAGCATGGCGTGGATGTTGTTAGAATAGAGACGACTGACATCAAGATCGTCTTGCAAATCCCAGAACGATCTGAAATCGACGCCCGAAGCTTTCATTGCCCAATACAAGTTTTCATCTCCATCATTCTTTTCAGCTTTTGCGCCGTTTGATTTCAGGTTGTCGTCCCAAATCACTGTTTTTTCGTCTGGATCGTATTGCACCACCTTGCATTGGCTGATCTTGCTCTTGCTCGAGCGCTTGATGTACACTTTTTTGGCGGTTTTTAGGGCGACCTGGAAAATGAATTCGTCGGGATGTGATAATATTCTTTTAGGAATATAATGTGAAAACTTATATATATATATAGATACCTGAGCAATCAAGACATGGGGTTCTGTCGTGAATCTGAAGTGAACTTCAAACTTTAAACCTTCACACTCGATATAGATAGCCCTCCGGACTTTCTGATCGGATGATGATTTCGCTATTTTACTCAGGATTTTCTCTGATGTTTTTGCCTTTTCCCGACTAGATTTAGCTTCTGATACAGCTTCATCTTTGTGATCTTCTGAGTCATCAATATCTTCATCTTCTCCAGCTTCGATATCTTCAGATTGATGATCTTCGCTGTTCTTAGAATTTCCCGGATCTTCATTAGGGTCGCTGTCGGATCCATCCTCGTAATCGACCTCATCCGTACCCTGTTGCTTTCTCTTTTGTGCATCCGCGTCAAGATCATCGCCATCTTCGTCGTCGTCATTGTCCTCGTCATTATCATCGTCCCTTTTCTGTTTCTGGGCACCTGGCTCGTCCTCATCAGCTTCATTCGATGCTTCAGATCTTGGTGCAGATGTGGAATTTTGTATTCCGCTTACTTTGGATAGAAATACAACATGACTTTCGATTGCATCCTCGAGCTCCCTCAAGAACGAAGATTTCAAAGTTTCATGTGTGTCTTCCAATCGAACAAACTCGCTATCCTTCAGTTTAATTATCAGTTTATAGATCCGGTCTTTATGCAACGAGAGCTGAACTTCCATGCTCTCTACCAAATCGGATACACTCACCTTTTTCACACTCGAAACAAGAGAAACAACGTCGTGCCTGCAAACGACAAAATTTATTTTAGTCCATAGTTAAAAATTGAAAAATTTCATATTAGCTATCAGTACAAACTTACTTTGATCTCCTCTGTGAGAATGGGCATGTCAAGAGGGGAGTCTTGATAACATCTGATGCAGTCATCAAAATCTCCTGAAGCCTTGGAATACCGAGAGTAACATTCATTTCCCCGCGCCCCGCCAGATGAAAAGTGTTGAGTCTGTTGAAATGCAAACATGTGATTAACCATTGCACATTAAAAAGAACTACCATTGAACTGATATTTCAAACTTTAAAATTGTATAGAACCTTAAAGGATGCATAGCCTGAGACCCTGAGTACAAATGATAAATATGCTAGCAAAATCGTAAAACGAACTCAGATAAATGCTTACCAGTTCAGTGTTAAAGAGCAGGCGAATATATAGGTTTAAACACATTCAGTCTGTCCACTCCCAGTGAAACAATTCTCCATAGATATTATTAAAAAATACAGATATACACACACATTAATATAATACAATATATATCATTCACTCATAAAAAGTCAACCATTCAACACAAAATATTATTTTTTATATTACCAACACAATTTCACATACCACACACAAAAAAAATCAATTCATATAAAAAACGTTGAATGAACAAATTCATTATATTTTCTTAACAGCTCATTTACTCCAACTTTTGTTGTTCATATATAGATAAGTAGGCAGCAGGTTTTGTCAAATTAAAGTTTTCTTTTAACTACAGACTATATATGTAAATTATATAAGATCAGTAGGTGAAAGATTAAGCAAGTTGTTGTCGACGATCTGGATTTCTTGGATTTAAGAATGCAAGATCTTTAAATAAAGTGCAACAACGAATATAGAGAAAGGAAACTTACGTCATCTGAGTCGATGGTTCGCCTACAGACTGAGCTGCAATGACCCCTACAGGTTCTCCGGCTTGTACAAGGCTAGACAAGTATTTCTGCTCCACCAACTTCATAAACCTGTCTCGATTCATTCCAAGAGCCTCCTCATTTTTCAATTGGTGATCTTTCTTACTCGACCTGTGCTTCTTGTGTGTGTTCTTTCCACTTGCTTTATGTTTTACAGATAACTTCTCTTGCTTCTCTTGAACATAGCTCCTAGCTTCTTTTTCAAGTCCCTCGGGAAGTCTGTTGATGTAACTACCAAATTCATGCATATTCTGGAATTTCTGACTGAAAGTTTCCTGATTCTGAATCATTTAAAACAGAAACGCGACATTATGAGTCTATGTTATAAAAGTTACAACACATAAGTCTATTTTATAAAAGATGATATTACTTACATCTTCTAGCGCCTTAAAATTGTTCAGGAAGCTTGTCTTGTGCACATCAATGCCATCTTCTCCATAGTAAAATTGAACGATAGAACCATCAGCATCACGGACAGTATAATCATAGTGAACTTTCAGGCTCTCAAGATTTTTCATCAAACAACGCTGTAGATATCCACTGCGAGATGTTTTGACTGCAGTGTCAACCAACCTGAATAAAATTAACAAATAGCAGCACAAAATGTGAGTCCAAATTCATCAGAGCAATCAAATAGGAAATCAACTTCAGTAAGTTGTTTAAAAGGTGCAACGATGCAAGTCAAATACTAGGCCTTACCCTTCACGACCAGCCATGCAATGGAAATAGTATTCCTGTGGTCGAAGCCCGGTAAGAAAGCGATCAGTAATAAAGCCTCCAGCTCTAGATGTGAAATCCCATGGTGGAAAGCTGGGCAAAGTCTTTCCAGAAACCATCCGAGGTACCCTTTTACCTTCCAGCTCCTGCTGCCCAAGATAGACAGATATTTGCTGGAAATTCACCTGAGGAATTGGATAATACCATATTAACTTTATTACTAATCATTTATATAAGAAATTAAGGTAAGAAAGTGTAGAGCCACACTAAAACAAAAGATGTACATGATAAATAAGGAAAAAAAAAGCCATTAGCAAATGACTAAAGGAAGACAGTGAAACAATCTAAAATCTCCTGAAAACACAACCATGTAGATTCTAGAAACAAGACAAATGTGTTGTAATAGTGTACAACATCAAATAGAAGGGAAACCATATTACGTGGTGTGTAGCTGCTAATTTGTCTAAAGAAATAATTTTCAGCAAGAAAAGTAGTAATATGTATTGTAAAAATATAAGCACACATTTATGTATATAAAACATCCATTTAATTTAGACATCATCAATTATAACAACTTCATGGCTGATGATGGTATTCAAACTTACCGTACTACCCTTTGCCCCAGTTGTTGTCATGACAGAGATGCAATTCTTAGGGAAAGGTTTTAATAAACCAGTTGTCAGCAAGTGTTTGAGTATCTGAGAACCTTCCCTAGTTAGCCTATTTGTCAATTTGTTTTTCATTTTCATGTCCAAAGCTGCAGTAGCAGATTCTCTGTCCTGGCAAATGACTTTCTCAACCTCCAATTGCAGTTCTTGAGGGCCTATGTAACCAAAATGAAACATAATGTTCAAGAATAAATAATCAAATATATAAATATGTCAAAAAACACCACTCTGAAAATCACATCAACCATTACACATGCAATATAGTAAAAAATGGGAATGGCATCATGTCGATGTTACGCCATTTTTATATAGTATTTTTAGCTAAAGCATAAATCCCCTCTAAATACCATGATAACTGAAGCACAAGAAAGCATCACGCTGCACCTCTATTGCCAGCGAAGAATCATAACATTGATAAAATCACTGAAAAGGCCATCATGGCTAATTTTGAATTTAATCAATAGCCTGATAATTGTAATATCTCAAGTTTCAGGGCATCTGTTTCTATCAGAAGTCATCAAAACTTAATGTAAGTAAAAAAAATAAAAACCTGTGCATTCTTTGTTACATAGGCACTATACTTCTGCCAAAGCAATGATTTCATGGAGACTTTACCTATTCCATTTTATTACAAATAGTCATATTTGCATAAGAATGAGGGCACTGGATTGAAAACAATCAAGAATAGAGCAATGAGTTCCAATTGTAATATTGGCATTGAGTGTATATAATTGTTTGTAACCAAGCATTGGAGTGATGAAATTGGCTGGTTCCCATTATTTGAATCCACAGTGAGACAAAAATAGAAAAAGGCAGCAGCCTGCACACTTGATCGCCTTTGTCTAAACAATTCAAAGCATTTAAAGTACAATTGGGTATTGTATTAAATCTTTCTAAAAACTAACAATAAATAACATAGGATCCCAAAATCTAGATGAATACGATCCCATAAGAAAGAAAATTCCTCATTTAATAAAATTTCGAGAAATCAAGCATTATAAAAATTGTACGAAGTAAAAAACAAAGTTACTTCATGAGTACAAAAATATATTGCAGCGGGAAATGGTAGCTACGTCCACAGCTGTCAGCAGACAACTTGGGAATAAAGTCAAAGGCAAAAGTTATAAACAAAATTAGCTATCTCAAAATAACAGATAAAAGCAATAAAAGCCAAGATATAATACCGATTTGCCCAGGTTTGAATTTCACAAAATCACAGTGAACCTCTTCCCCAACATCTTCGCCTTCAAGCTTCTCCTTCCTTTGGGCATCATAATTAGGTAATATGATAAGGTCATCTAGCCCACAAGTGAATCCATGAAACTGAGCAACATAATACACATTAATTAAAGGTATGATTCCAAATGTTCGGAAAAAGGATTCTTCAAACAGAAGAAATACAATTTATAACACAACATAAGAAGCACCTGTAAAAAGATAGTAAATAGGCGACTCAATGCAGATAGAAAGATGCCTGCACTGTATGAACCATATAGCTCCTGCACTGTATGAACCAAGCCAAACTTTCCAAATTGAGCCTTGTCAATCACTCCCCGCAAAAGCTCATTTTTCCAGATCAACAAGCTGTGTTCAGCATTATGGTCATCATCTTCCTCTCCATTTTTGAAACTGTTACCCGTAAAATAATTCTTTGGAATTTTCCCCTGATTTTTAACAGTACAGGGTGCATAACCATGGGTTATATGGTTCAACAAGGCAGTGATGACCTGAAAAGGCAGAGAAACAGATTACGGTAACTTACTAGATCATGCATCTCGAAGACTGGAAAGTGGACGTTAAAAACTCAACCTGTTTTCCTGTCCAAAGAGGCTCAGGTTTCCATATCGTAGGCAAAACACAGTCCACCATACCTTCAGCATCCACTAAAGAAACCTTCCTAGAATTATTCCCAGGATTTGAACCAGACACACGAGCAAACACGCCAGAACCATAAAGCAGCTGACTAAATTCACTACGATTTAGAAATGTATTCTTCATTGTAAGGAGCACAGCACCCACAATATGGTCCTGGATTATTAGATCATTAATATAATCAATCATGCAGGTGCTCGAGCAAATATTTTAAGAAAACCACTGCAACAATTTTCTGGAAGGAGGACTATAGAAACTGAAGTTCAGAAATGATACTGACCTGAATCAAGCCCCTCACAGTATCACCCTTTGTGGGAACAATATATTGTTCATTTGCATTTACAATATTATAGGCCTCGGCACGGGAAATTTCATCTTGAGGAAAATGGACATTAATCTCATCACCATCAAAATCAGCATTATAGGAGCTGAAACCAAATTAAGAGGTTAGTATTATCCTTAGGTAATATATTATCGATGTAAAGAAACTTAAAAAGAATTTACCATAAAAATATAAAATAAAAATATAATAATAATAATAATAAGCTAACCTGCAATTTGCATAATGCATGCGAATTGTTTTTTCTCCTTTTAATACACGAACAACATGAGCCATTATACTTGGCTTATGTAGTGTCGGCTGAAATTGAAAATTCAAATTTTGTTAACATAACAGCTAATAAGGATCAGCTGCATTGTTAGTAGTTTACGTTAACCCAGAGAGAAGAATACTGACAAGTGCATGGAATACAGAAAAAGAATACATTGACACAATGTAACACATGAAATCAAACATCTATAACATAACATCATTTGTTTGATGTGAACTGTTATTATGTATATCAACATTTCAGTCTCGACAGGGAAAAACTTTCCTAGCATACATCAACCCAGTACGAACTTAACTTTTAGAGTCCTAATTAAATAACATTTGATCTACCATAGAAAGACCCAGTATAGAGGATATAAATAAACACCAAATGATGTTGTAGATATGATTAGCAAAATGAATAAACTACAGCTTTAATGAATCAACACAAGTACCTGCCGATTTACAAGCACAACATCACCATCTTGCAAGTGGCGACACACGATTTTTCCCTCAAACTCAAGCCCATTTTTGCCTGATTGTGAAACTGCTCCTCTTGAAGAAGGTAACTTCCTTGATATTGCTAGACGCATTTTTTTGCTTGTTGGCAGCTTTACAGTGGCTACACTGTCAATGTAGGATGTTGCCCCAGGATGAATTTGAGGCCCATTGATGACTGCACGTCTCAATTTCTCAGCATTCCAAGGAGTAACCCTCTGTAATCATTAAAGGTGATAAGGAAATCTTAAAATTTTAAGGTGAGGATGCAATTGATACTTGAGTAATTACTTAAAAATCTTGTCTTCTAAAATGGAAGGTTCAATGTTACTTCAAATTTTATAATCTCCCAGACCAGTAAAACTTCTCAAGTATGTCTAACATAACAACAGTTCAGTATATGGTTTATAATGTCATGGAAAGCAACTAGCCATGAGATCAAACATAACAACCACAAACAGGAAGAAAATAACCATATAGATTGATTGGATTTAGTTTATGTCCAATTAACTATAGGGCAGTTTATTAACATCAATCACTATATATTGCATGACACTACTTTCATATACTTGGCACACATTAATAACATCTTCCTTAGGACAAAACTGACACAAGAAAATAGATGCAGAATGAAAGCATTCTCCATACCTCTGGATAGGTCAACGTCAATGCAAAGTGTGGGGGAATTCCAATTTCATTTACTGCCAAATAAGGATCTGGGGAAATAACAGATCGACAGGCAAAATTGACCCTTTTGCCCATCATTTTTTGCCGGAAAATACCCTCTTTCTTTTCAAGGAATTGACAAATTCCAGAAACATCTTTTTGAGCTTGAGCTGCAATAAAAGATAGAACCTTATATCCATGTATAGATCCATTTGCAAGCTTACACAGTAAAAACAAAGTCGAAAATGTATTAAGTATGTTGTCATTCAATACTAGAAAACAGAACACATCATTAAATGGGAGTTATAGATCATATGTGCATCCTTGAAGCAACCAATTTTAATTAATTTTTAGAAAAATATAAATAATTTAAACTTAAAAAAAAAAAAAAAAAAAAAAAAAAAAAAACGCATTCCATATTCTCGGACAAACTCTATGTGTAATACTATACAGATGTTCATGTAGTCCAACTAGCTTGGAAGCAAGAACAGAATGACACAAGACACATATTGATGTGATCCAACTACAAGAGCAGTTATGCAAAGCACATAAAAAGGGAATCATTCCATCACATGAGCCCTTTTTTCCCTGGATCTAAACATGACTGACAATTGGCAAGATATAAATATTAATTGCTAGTATTTGAGAATTTGAGTTGTTTTAATATAAATTCTACTGAATTTGTGCATATTCCATATTCTCTAGGTTTGAAAACATTTGACGAAATTGGTGAAAAAATCAAGGATAAATGAAGAACACGGACAGAAAGATTGGAGTCTGCTATTCATGGCCATGAACAACTCTTGCAGAGGTGATCTAAATGGCTAAATTAAACCACAATCACATGTGCTATATTTGTAACTCCTGCCCTTGATTCTAACCGTGACACAGAAATTAATTTTAAAACAGCGCTAAAGCTGAAAACAAGATCAACAGACTCACTAGTTGCTGTTTTGCTATCAAATAAGAGATTGATAGATTGTTGAAGATCCATCCATCGAGTAATGATCTTTGACGTTTCAGCACTATTAATATGAGCATTTCCTAAAGCACTATTTGTTTGCAACACCTTCCCTAATAGAACAGTATGTGGGTGCTCCATCACCTGAAAGGAAACCAATTATGGTCACAACTTGCAGTAACGACAGTTTATAGGTAATAAGATCTTTGTAATCATATAATCAGCTTAATTCACCATCCTCCCGCATAATCAAGAAAAGATGTACTAAGAATGACACTTAATAAATAAATATATATACGTATCATACTTCAAAGGTTTTATTTCAGTGGTGTTATGAGTCTTAAATAAATTGAACCACCAAGGGACTGTCCTTAAAAATAAATTCTCTTCTGAATGTGCCATGCAATCAAGTGAAAAAATGTGCAGGCAAATAAAAACTATAAGATCATAGATGGAAAGTGTCGAACATAGATGCTGGACCAACAGGATACCCCAACACTTACAGAATTGCCACCTTTGGCTGGAGGCCGGAATTTTATTGGTGGAACAAGCACTGTTTCGAGGAAGAACATAGAGTAGCCTTCCATGTCTCCAGAAAATTTAAATTGATTCTGTTGAATATTACAGATATATGAGCAAAGGGTGGCTTCATTTTTCCATAAATGCCTCAAAATATCTTTAACCTGTCAAAACAATAAATACAATTTTATAATGACTCGTCAAAGGGAAATTTTACAAGGTAATTAGGAAAAATGCGAGTAACTAGAACAATAAAGATTTATCCCCGTATAACCCACCTCTGAAGGTAAGAGAGGTCCAGAGAATAAATTGTTTGGATCCTTCAAACCAGGATTAAAATTCCGACTCACACCTTTTTTGCCAGACTTTTTGGTACTGTTAGAAATGTCTATATCTCCCTCGCTTTGATCTATATCCAACTTGGCATTTCGTATGGCATTTGACCGTAAATGAGTACTGGAGAGTCCAGTCTGCACACAGAATAGTAACATAGATAGTAAGAAGAAATAGAGGAAAAATCACAAATACATAATCATTTAAAGCAACAATTGTTGTTTCACGCACATGAAATTCAAATTCACGCTTACAACTGCGATGAACAATGATCATTCTACCTACACAAACTTAGTTATTTCCCCCTTGCTCAACCTTGTGGATTCAACAGTTTTAAAGTTTCTGTTCCATATCCGAAGCACTCAATATATAAATACCCAAGTAAATAGCAACTTATCCAGAAAATTTCTAGTGTCGCGGAAATGAAACACAAATTCATAACAAATATGGTTTCAATATGTGCTAGATCAAAGTCGTAAAACAAATCCTTCAGGCTTTGCGAAGATCAAGTTTATCTTCTCAAACTTTTTCCCTGGAACAAACTCCTCTAAACTATTTACTGACGAACAATGAGAAAAAGGATAAGATAACCAATTATATACACAAAACGACAAATACAAGCATCAGTAACATGCTCCCAGAGTGAGAATCTGCGTACAATAATAAATTGCATCATTTCATATCTTAATTCAACTTTGCATTACCAGACACCTAAAATGGGTATTAAACTATTAATGAATAGAACACAAATTTCCAAAACAATTACATACAGCTACAATATCAAGAAGGCACTAACAAAGATGTATTAAAAATTTTTGCATTAAAATTGATATATTCGATCAGAGAACTTCCAATATATCCCGATTTCCGGCAACAGCACAGGCTACTAATACATTAATTAAAGTATCCTTTTCAAATCCTCCCCAGTCAAATCAAACTTACCACATTAAACCATCCAAATGTAGGTTTACTGATCTTCGGATTCTTGCACTCACAATGAGTGCACTTCTTCTCTTTTTTCCTCATGAAATTACTCAAAACCGACATTGCTTCACTAAGAAGACATGAATCCCAGCAAGTTTCAGTTCCCTGCTCATGCTGATCTTCTCCACCAGATGGGCTCTCTTCTTCGTCCCCGAGAAACGACATATCAAAATTTTTCTTCTTTTGCGCAGCTTGTCGCGCACCCAAATTCTTTGCAGCTACAAAGTTCCCCCCCGCAATAAGTTTCAATTGAGACACACAGCTTTCAACCTAAATCAAGCAAGCATTATTTCAAATGATTGAATGAATGAATAAATCCAAAATAGTAGGCAACACTTAAGTAGAAAGATGCTACCTCCTCCCTGCGTGCCCTAAAGTGAAAGCAATAGAAACATGTCTTGTTCAAAAGATTGCTCAGCATACTGAAGAGCAAGGGATTGTAGGCTAAGGAGACAAGGTCGATATGGCCACAGTGGCCAGGGCAATAGAATCCACGCTGCCCGCATGACACGCATCTGCAGATTAGAAAATGATGAATGACAGTAATGTAATAAATCAGCAAAATCAAAATCCTTTGTTCCGATTATTAGTTCACTGCTTACGGGGATTTGTCGTCGACAGGTCCCATGGCCGGATCATAGAGTCCGCCAGAAATTACAGCGCCCAATGTATCGACGGTGTGAGGATTTGTTATCTTCACGACGCTGTGACTCCTCACCTCTTCATCCGTCATGAATTTGAAGTGCACAGACTCTACAACCTCGGTCGTCGCCATGGCCGGAGAAAAAGCACGATGAAACAATAGAGAAGAAGAAGGAGGAGGAGGAGATATGTGAGAGTGACTGTGGCCGCAGCCGGTGGCCGGGGCGGCGGCGGCGGCGGCGAGGGTTTAAGGGCGCGGTTGGGTTTTGTATTCCAATCAAATACAGGGTATGATATATAAGGACAAGTGTGGGACCCAACATTTTTTTTTATGTTTTTGTAATAATAATAATATTATTATTATTATTATGTTCGTCCGTCAACTTTTCGTCTTTAACGGGAGTGTGTGTATCTTTTTCTTTTTTTTTTTTTTTCATTTATAATTAAGACAAATAAATAAAAATAGTACTATATTTTTTATATAAACAAAAAAATATATATATTTTCTCCGTCCCAACTTAAATTATTATTTTTTATTTTACTAAAAATAATTATACATTAATATCAAAATACTTTAACTTTTGTCTAAATTACAAATATATTATTATTTTTTATCATGTTAAAATCTACACACTCACTAATAAAATACTATATTTCTTAATCTATTACAAAACTCCAAATAGCCTCTTTGGACCGGAGAATGGAGTATTTTTTTATACAAAAACAATTTTATTTGTTTATAATTTTATTATTTCCTCAATTTCAGCTAATTTGTCTATTTTAGCTGATGGATGGAGTTTTGCGTATTAATAATAAAAATAATTATAAATTAAGATTAAAATAAATAAATATGGTTAAAGTGTATAATTATATGATTAGAAAAAAATAAAAATTATGTGAAACAAAAATGAAAAAGATGGACAAATTAAATGTGAAGAATAGAGCATTTTTTACTTTGACTAATAATTGTCACTATATTTTTTATTTATATGTTACATTTATCCAAACAAATTTCTACTCTTTCTTTTAAATTTGTGCTTATTTTTTTGGCAAAATTGAATGAAACACGTTTGAGGTTTAATGAATTTGCGCTAAACTTTTCATACTTTTAATACTTAGTTAAATTTTCTTAAAACTGGTGTCTTACCCTAGTCGTCCTTACTTATTTAACGCTCTTAGTGTTTGATCTGGACGTATTTAAATTTCCAATAAATTTCATATTTTTCAGTTTTAAACTCTTAAAATTACAAATATTAATTCATTTTACATTTAGCCTCAAAATTACTAAATAATTCTTAGAACCAAGAGAAAATAATTATTTCTTCTTTGAAGCTAAATATAAAAAAATAATTATATTTGTAATTTTAAATATTTAGAAATATAAATTATGACTGTTGGGGGTGCGCAAATCAAACATTGTTAAGTTAAATAAAGACAATTAAAGAGTAGATAGTAGAGTTTATGAAACCACGAAGAAATATGATGCAATTTTAAAAGTACGGGGACTTGACGCTAAAAAAATAACCAAAAACACATTATATATTAATAAACTTGTTCAAAAATTCGAGCACATTTTTAAGTGACAAGAAGAAATATAAATTTAGAATGTGTTTGTTTGGGGTTTAAATTTTGGTTTAAAATTTGAATAGTTATATGATATAATATAAATAAATATAAAATTATTTTTTAGTATAATATAAAAATAAAAAATGAGTTTTAATTTGATATTTTTTTTTTTAAAAAAATAATCATGAATAATAAAAATTTAGAAAAAATTGATAAGAGAACACACGCCTAAGGACAAAATAGTGTTGTCGACTTGTCGTGTCCAAGTACATACACGGAAACAATTAGTTAGCGCTATGTATTGATATGATATTTTGAATGTAAAACTAAAATTTAATATTATATAATAAATAAAAAATAAAATATTTGACTTAATATTTTTTAAAAAAATTAAAAAAATAAAATCATGATAAAAATCTAAAGAAGTAAATTTTAAATATTTTTTACTTTTTTTTTTATCGGATTTTATGTTTATTTTTTTTTATTTTTTTATTTTTTACTCTTACTAGGATTTGACTGTGTTTACTCAGATCATCTCCACAAAAAATGAGGGGAGGGGCTTCAACCCACCCCCAAATTCCCTCCCCCCATTTTTGCAGATATCCATAATGCTACTCTATTTCTTTTAGTAACACTGTTACTCCACTCTATTTTTTAAGTGGAGTTTTTATGGTGTTTTCTTTTTTTTTATATTTTTGGTATTTTTAGGTGTATTGTGTAATTTTTATTTTTTTTAGTAGATAATATATAATTTTATATTTTTAAAAGTTGTATGTAATTTTATTTTTTTAAAAAAATAATGTATAATTTTATTTCTTAAAAGTGATATAATTTTGAATTTTGGAAAGTAATATATAATTTTATTTTTTTAAAAAAATAATGTATAATTTTATTTTTTAAATTGATATATAATTTTACTATTTGAAAAGTAATATAATTTTTATTTTTCTAAAAGTGATATGTAATTTTATTTTTTAAATTAAAATGTAATTTTACTTTGTAAAAAGTTATGTTTAATTTTTTATTTTAAAATTAATTATTTTATATATTTTTCACAAAAAAAATTATAATATGTATAATTATTAAAAAACGATATGTTTGTATTTTTATATATGTAATTTTTTTAGAAAAATAAATTATATGTGTATGGATCTAATGTAAAAATAAATTAAAATTGGGATGTAATTTATAAATATGAAAAATTATATAAAATAATATAAAAGATGAATATATAGGGAATATAAGAGTAAAAATTGAAGTTCATGTTGGAGTAAAAACATTTTTACTGTAGCAACCGAAAAAATGGTTGGAGTAAAAACATTTTTACTGTACCAACTGAAAAAATGGAGTAGAGGGTTGGAGACACCTCATAATCCATTTGTATACAAGTTTTTTTTTTTTTTTTTGAATTTTTCAAATAATAAAAAGTTTGACATTTAAGGGTGTGTTTGTTTGGGAGATTGGATTTTAAATACACTATTTATCCCATTTTTTTTCCTAAAAAACATCAAATCAAATATTTTTATTTTATTTTTATATTATACTAAAAATCAATTTTACATTCAAAATATCACATCAACATCTATTTATATCACATTATACAACTATTCAAATTCAAAATTTTTACTATTCAAATTCCAACTCAAATCCAAACCCCCAAACAACACACCCTTAATATAATAATTTGTCATAGTAAAAAATATATATTGTGCTGGAAAAAAGAAATTGTTATTAAAATAGTATCAAATTTTTAAAAATTGATGGGTCTTTTTCTATAGAAGAATACACCAAATGCATGACTCGTGATCATCAAAACTCGGCAAAAGAGGACGTTAAATATAATATTTATAAAATAATGTAAATTATTAAAAAAAAATAATTAAAGAGATTCATAATATAAATTTGATTGTAATTAATATTTTTTTATAATTTTTTTACAAACATCAAATTAAATATTTATTTATTTATTTATTATATTAAACTAAAATTTAATTTTAAATTTAAAACATAATAATATTTCAGTATAACAGTATAACCCAAAACAATACATTAAATATTATTTTACTATAATATTTTAATATTGTAATATAATACTCCTTCATCATTAACAACATATTTATTTGCTTTTTAAATTATTATATTTAATATTAAAAATATTATTACATCATTCCATTTGTATTAGACAATACTAACAAAAATATTTGTCGGTTTTCTTCTGATTTGAACTTACACCCGAATATAATATTAATATTTAAAATTTATATGCAAAAACCAAAATAAAGTGCATCTTACAAAATAGAAAAAAAAAACATATTTTATAACAAAAAAAAAAAAAAAAATTAGATGACAAGAGTACTACATTTTTACTAAAAAGTATATATGTTGTCCACTAAATTTATGCATAATTCAATTTTTAATTAAATTTCATTAGTCACTATTGTTTATTCTCCTGAATAATAACCAATTTGTCGCTATTTTTTATAAATAATAATAAAAAAAAATTATAATTGAAAAACTAAACCAAAACTCCAAAATAACTTTGTCCTAGTTGTTCATGCCACTTTACCATTCCCAACTTACTCAAAATTCCACAAGAATTTAGCATAAGCACCCAAGCTAAGTTCAAAAATAGCATATCATAAGATGCATGTCTACAAAACAAAACACAACTCAAATATCTACCAAGTTCAAACTGCAGTTACACAAAAGTTGAGTTGAGAGATCGACCTGTATACTATGTGCCGAGAATAATCCGGTCGCTGGAGGTAAAGTCTTGTTCACTGCCCTACAGAGTTTAGTACAAAAATTAGTCCGGACAGAATAGACCAATAATGCATTCTTCTAATGTTGGATACTTTTTTTAATTTTACAAGCAGCAATCTAATCCGCCATGGCGTTTATTTCCAAATATTTCATCGGAATTAGGTGTCCATTACAAATACTACAAGGAAAAAACAAAAGGCGAATAGGCTCAATTGAAGCATATCCATCCAAGACATGAGAATTTCAAAAAAGCTTTAGGAATAACATTGAAAGAAAAAGCAAACAATTGGTTTAGGAATACCATATAGAAAGTCGGGAATTATTAAAGGAAATATAAAAGCAAATAATTTTACCAAAAATAGCTATTATATTTATACCCAATATATAAAAAGAAAGGCGGCGGCTAAAGTCCTGAAATTAAAAATCAAGAATGTGCTAAACAACACACAATGTAATAACAAACAACATACCGTATTACTTTTGACAACACATCATTTTATATTAATATAATACAAATATAGCACATGAACTAACAACACAAACTATAGTCATTCACAACACACAACAATTGCATGCTTTTATACAACACACATATAATTCCGAACAAACAACACATGCCTTTATTACATATAGACAACACATCATTTATATTAATATGTAATAAAGACATGTGTTGTTTGTATATTCAAATCAGCATCGTAACCATTTCCAAAAAGGAATTTCCACTAAGCATGAACCGATTTTAACCGACGATACATTTTACCAAGGCATTTGAAATTACATGAAGCTACGGAATCTTGCAAGATCCTTAATTAAAACCATAACCAATAAGGGCACCCTTTTTACCTGAAAAAAGACAAACCGACCTTACTTTTATTTGTTCAAAGGACGAAAGCACTATCTGTTATTGCTACACATTTTATAATTTTTAAGCGTGCTAATTATGGTCCTAGGCAGTAGAAACTTCGATGTAAATTCCTAAAAAAATGCACAAACACATAACGGAGAAAACAAGGAAAAGAAAACAGATAATGCTAATAAGGAAAGCTTAATTAAAAAAAAATACCTATAACAACTCTTATCACAGGTTAGATACTTGCACTTCCATTGTACCAATAGCTACAGCGACTTATCCACCTTAGAAGCCTTTGAACTAGTCATGCAGTCGGAAAAAGCTGCTATTCGAATATTGTCGGAGAGGGATTGCCTTACGGATTTGACTGCATTAAAGTAACTTCCTTCAAAAGGGGCTTTTAGTCCATCAATAACCTATAATCATCATAAACAGAAAGAACAAGATGTCAAAAATGGTAATATACTATAGGAAAAAACTAAACAATAACATCAAGCTTAGTGACGAACCCGAGCTCGACTCATCCCCCCCAAGAAATAATCGCAATAAACACATTAACCTTCTCATATGGCTAAGCTGAAGTGTGGAGTCTTTGTAAGGTTCAAACTTAAAATAGACTCAACTCATTATTATCTATGCGTGTTGATATCTATGGTTTGATGTTATACTTAGATATGCTTATTAAATACTAACAATTTTATTTTATTTTATCAAAACATATTTATATCAAACAAACTATCTTTTGTTCCTATGTTATATGGTTGTTTTACTTTATAACGATATTTTTTATTAATTTGTTGCAATGATTGTTACAATAATCCAACTTCCTTTCTCATTAAATATCTATCGTAGTTATATCAACAAAATTAGAGCGATAGGTAAGCTTTCACCAAGCCACAATCCGCATTTCTTATGAGTAGAGCATTAGTTTCACATTAGAAAATTCCGATTGGCAATTGTATTTCTTTTGTTAATGCCAGGATAAAATATTGTTGTTGGCATCCTCAATAGATTGTCTGGATACATCATTTCCGTCTCCCAAAATGTTCAGTTCAATTAGGGTGTGTTTGTTTGGGGGTTTGGATTTTGGATTGAATTTGAATATTAAAAAATTTGAATTGAAATAGTTGTATGATGTGATATAAATATGGATTGATGTGATGTTTTGAATGTAAATTTAATTTTTAATATAATATAAAAAATAAAAAATAAGTATTTGATTTGATGTTTATTGGAGGAAAAATTTATGTGAACAGTAGAAGTCCACCAAAATCCTTCAAACAAACACACCCTTAATGTCATAGGCTCATTTCTACAGGCTCAAGCTATGCTTTCTTAGGCTCTATGTTAATATATTTGTCTCAATATCATAATCTTATCTTAATTGGCGACACTCTTTTGTGTATGCTAAACATACTCAGTGTTCCATTTCCTATAAGTAATAAAAGACCATGGGTGTTTTTGTTTTGTGTTTTGGTTTGAAAGAATATTTTTTATGTGAGATATAGAGAATTATGTAAGTAATATAAAAATAATAAATGTTTGTAATATATTATGTTTTGTGGAAAAATGTCTTCGGAAATTTTGGGTAAAAGACCAAAGCCCATCTTCTCATTTCTTGGTAACCCTTAGTGATATTTTGGGGCCATCAACTATTACCAAACATCCAAGTGTCTAGGTGGAGGTGGTTTGTTACATTTATTGATGGTTGCACAAGAGTCTCTTAGATTATTTATTAAAATACGAGTGTTATTTGAACCACAATTTTCCAATTTTTCATGCAACGATTCATAATTAATTTGGCACAAAAATAAAGCACGTTCGTTTAGATAATGCTCGTGACTATTTCAATCATACCTTGAGGCATTTTTTTAGAAGGAATGAATTATACATAAATTATCTCGTATCACCACTCAATAACAAAATAAAGTGGTGGAGAGAAGAAAATGCACACACCTTCTTGATACACTCAAGCTTTCTTGTTTGGACAAAATGTGCCAAAAGTAAATTGGAGAGAAGTTGTCTTTGCATTAACTTATGTCATAAATAGAATTCCTTCTAGGGTTTTAGGATTTCAAATCCACTATAGAATCCATCCAACTTCTACGCAAATATTTGCTTCTTTTTTTTTTTTAATCTTATTCAATGGATTTTTTTGGGGTGTGTTTCTTTTGGGGTTTTGGATTTTGAATTAGGATTTGAATAGTAAAAATTTTGAATTGGAATAATTGAATGATGTGATATAAATAGATGTTTTGAATGTAAAATTAATTTTTAGTATAATATAAAAAATAAAAAATAGATATTTTATTTGATTTTTTTTTTTGGGGGGGGGGAATGTTGATGAATTGTGAAAATCATATAAAATCCCCCAAACAAACACACCCTTGGTGTACTTTTGTTCATACTACTAGACAACTCTATGTACCAATTGATGTTACATTTGTTGAAAATAAACCCTATTATACCGATCCTTTAATTTGATGTTACATTTATTGAAAATAAGCCCTATTACAAAAATCCAAGCGTTACAAGGCAAGTTAATTGCGAAAGGATACAAAGACATATGGAGTAGATTTTCAAGAAATGTTTGCTCCAACGGCAAAGATGAAGTGAAGGTAAATAGTTTTTAAAGGTAATTTGGTTGAGGGAATCCAGGTAATAAATAGTTTTTAAAAGTAATAAATAGTCTTTAATTTTACCGGATTTAATGAAGTAATTGTAGGACAAAATTACGGGATTTGGTTGACTGATCTTAGGGTGTTTTTCTTTTGATTGGATTGGGTAAAAGTTTGATTTGAATTTGGTATTAAAATAATATTTGATTGAATATTATGTGAAAGTAAAAAATGTATTTTTTTAGAGAACACAGAGACTAAATAGTAAAAAACTGAAGGTTTGAGGCTAAAGAAACACACCCGTATTTGCCTTGTTTAGTGTACCAAGAAATAGTACATATATAGATTAGAATTTATAATAGGAAATAGAATTGAAATATACACAATTACTCATGTTCTTTTCTACACTCTTTTTTTCAGTATTAACCTTTGACACCACTATTAAAAAACATACGTCCCCAAGAGAGAGAATATTGGAGGAACGAGAAAAACCTTGGGAAGAAAGAGCTACCATCACTACCAAGGCTAGTACAATTAAAACATCTAAAAGGCTAGAAATAAGAATTTAGTGTGCTCTTTATGTATTTTGGAGGTTTGGTTTTTGTTGTTTTTAAATGATATAGTTATTGAATGTGATGTTTTACATTAAAAATTGGTTTCTTTCAAGTAACTATGCCATTGCACATTGAAAAAATTGGAAAAAAAAAAAAAAAAAAAACCCGACTTCCAAAAGCATTAAAAGTATCTTAAAATTTAAAACAAGAAAATACATATAGTTACCAATACAGAGACTCCAGATACATCGACAGCCTTCAATGAAAGAAGCTCCAAAAGTCTCACAGGGGTTGCAACAAGAAACTCTGGTTCACAGCTCTTCAAACTGACAAATTTAATGCATTAGACATTTAGATGCCAGTAAGAGTAGCACAATAATAGTCCAAAACGGACAAACAACTAAGCTATGGCATTACTTGACACCAAAAGTGACGAATAGTCCAAAGGGAAAAAAAAGACAAATTTGGATTGCATAATAAAAGCCATCTTTTATGCAACCCCACGGTAACAATTTTGAAACTACACACAATATAACTTCAGGCACAAAAATTTGAAACTAAGCAAGTACAAAATTGCATGCTTCCGATCATAACAACTAGTGCATAAAGGGAAATAAAATAAATAAATAGAAGGCTGGTATGCTAACCCATTAATTTGATGATCAATGGAGGCACCTGGATGCAAACTCACTGTGTGTATTCCAAGTTTTTTCAAAGGCTTGCAAACCTGGCGTACCTGGTAAAGGTCAAGTATGGTATAAACAGATTATTGAGATTGCTAAAAATCATTGAGGTATCTCAACAAACCATTAGAACATTACTTACGTGTGGTATAACATTCAGAGACGAATCATATTTTATGCTTTACGTAATGTAGAAAAATTGCAATAGTTATTATGCAAAGTTGCAAACCAACATATAATAATACAAAAATATACAAGGTATTTGTGAACTCCAAATTTTGTACAAAGGTTACATCATTTAAATGACAATGCATTATACTACGTAGAAAATTCATGACAAAAAACATGAAAAACATATATATTGAATAAAGATGCAGCAAATAATGTTTGGCTAATGGAGGACATGATACATTCTAAAAAGTAACTAGTGTAGCCTACAGAGCACAAACCTCAGAAGCTTTTTCTTGTGATGGCACTAGGTATAAAAGAAAAGGACGACTAAGAGATAAGCCTTCTTTCTTCTTCATTGATATGGTATCAGCAGCAGTTACTGCTATCCAAGCAATTTGCTCTGTTGTGGAATTAGCTTCATCTGTTTCCAGTACATCTTTTCCCACGCAATAGGAATCCCAGAAGTCAATTCCCCACTCACTGGTATAGATTGGTTTTTCCCCTTGATCATTTAATGCTCCGCCATTTTGCAAACCATCTTCGATAGAAGCAAAGCATTTACTCAGAAACATCGAAGGGTTAGTGTAGTTCTTGTTGCTCTCAGAACTACGATCTATCAGAGAATAGTTGGACCCATCCCACTTGAGAGTCTGATTGTGATATGATTTTCCCAGATTGATCGCAATCTCAGGCCCCGGAAATCTAAAAGAGGAAAATATTAATTTCCCAAATTTGACTTTCTCAAACTTCTGCTCTTGAAGATCTTCAGGTGTGCTGTCATTTATGGGTTTCTCTTGAAGATCTTCAGGTGTGTTAGCATCATTTATAGGCTCATTCTTTAACCTACTAGATTTCTTATCCACAAGTTTCTTAGTTACTTTCAAATCTCTCTTTCTTTTCCTTGTCGGTTCTGACTTCACCTGTCTTTCATTGAAGGGATCCTCAGGAGTTGGAAGGCTGAAGCACATACCCTGAAAAGCAAAGTTACCAAAATTTCATACATAAAACCAACTACAAATCTTGCAGGATTGATTCAGAATGCATTGGCTTGCTAGTTTCTATTATAAAAAACGGCCGTAATACGTCAAGAGTCTTTCAACAAGTAGATAAAAACATCATGAAGTATGTTAATTTCAAATTGGTTTGAAGAGTTTGAGAGAAGTATAGTGGGTAAAAGTATTTTGGATGTCATGCTTGATAAAAAATTATACCTTGTGTTTTCAAATATTTTTAAGCACTCCTTCCCCATCAAATCCATCATATTCAATACCCATTTTCCATTCGAAATATTACATATGAAAAGTTTTTTCTAATTTCTATTAAAAAAAAAAAATCTAGAAATCCAGATTTGTTCACGTAGTAATTATTTTCACTTTTTTTACCTTTCAACATTCACGACTCCTACTAAAATGATCACATCAAAACCATTGTTCAAACAAAACCAAAATACAAATCACAAACATCTAAAACACAAACAAAGACACAGTTACCTTAAAGAAGGAAAATTCATTTTACTCTGAAGTTTACCAATAAAATTGACTTCATTCTATTTTTAAAATATATTCCACAGAACATCATTATCTTCCACCTCAGAATTTCTAGTTCACACACTTCAATTGGTTTAGTTTTATCCTTGTATAACAAAATGCATATCAATTAACTGATTTGCTTCTCTCATTGTAAAGGTTTTCGTCTTTGTTTTCAGGAACCAATCAATAGGTTTTGTATTTCTTTTATTTCGTATACATTTCTCCAGTGTTTCAAACAATACGATAAACTCGTCTAGCCATACGATAAAATCCAAACGCACCGCAATCGTGATCAATACACTACCAGATATCACCAACGCAAGGAAAACAACTAATACACTTAAGATAAAGTTACGAAATACGAAAGTAGAGAAAAAATAGGGCATAAAAATCTAATCGAAATAACAATGTCAAAAAGCTCATTTTTCACCACCAGAAATTAACAACAAAGAGACCTGACACATTCGGCGTTTTCCGGAATGGCGTCGCTTCTTGGCGGCAATAAGGGCAGCAACTCGATTGGAGACCTTGGATGAGGACTCGCCTTGCTTCTCCTGCTTCTTTCTGCTCTTCTTGACCTTGCGCCGGCTTATCGAGTCGTCGCTTCTACCCATTTTCCGGCTGGACGAGACGGCAGCTACCTCTCTCCTCTCGCGAGTCGCCTCTCCCCTCCGATTCACTCCGGCGGGGGGTTTATATAGTGGTGGGGTTTCTGGACATGCTCGGCATTTTGAGGATTGTCGGGGATTTACTTGTAATTTCATTCTTGCATTGCACTCTGGCTAATGACGTGCTTATTGAGTGTGGTTGGACCGGTCTGTACAAATCCGATGTGATGTTTATTCAAGCGGTCCGACCGGACCGGTCTAGCCCCATTTGACTCGAGCTTGATTAAACACGGTAAATAAAATAGCGAAGGTGTGTTTGTTTGAAGGATTTGTACAGACCGGTCCAACCACACTCAATACACTATTCATCTCATTTTTTTCTTAAAAATATCAAATTAAACATTTATTTTTCATTTCTTATATTATACTAAAAATTAATTTTACATTTAAAACGTAACATCAACACCTATTTATATCACATTATACAACTATTTCAATTCAAATTTTTTATCATTCAAATCTTAACTCAAAATTCAAACCTCAAACAAACACACCCTTAGACTTTCAAGGTAGATAATGAAATTACAGAGAAAATAATAGCAAATGAGAATTAATTCTCTTATTTCATAAAATAAAGAATTTAGTTGATGAATGATTAATTGGACCAAAGGAAAGGTTTAACGAATGAAAATTCATGAATAAATATTTTTGATGATTTTTTTTTTTAAGAAAATTACAAATTATATACGATATTTTTGTAAAATCATACTCCCTCAGTCTTATATCTATCTATTCATTTACTTTTTCCCCGAGTTTTAGAAATAGTAGTATTATTTTGGAATGTAGTAGAAATAAAAATAAAAATATGAAACTAACATTAGTAGTATTGTATGATATAAAGGTAATGACATTTGTGTAATATATTGTAAATTGAAATAGTATTTGTAATGTTAGATAGATAGTACAATTACTTAAAAAAAATAATAATAAATGAATACTTTGTTATGCGACGGATCAAAATGAAAAAATGAATACATTGTTAAAGGATGAAGGGAGTATTATAGTATAATTTTTATAAAAAAAAAAATCGTAAAAAATAAATATTTAAATAATAAATTAAATACTACTCCCTCCATCTCAATTAAAATAGTATTGTTTACTATTTTTGTCAATCCCAAAACAATAGTCTCATTTCCATAAATAACCATATCACCATAAAACTATCCCTATTTTTTCATTATTATTACACAATTGCCACTACTTTTTACACTAATATACTCACAAGGGCAAAAAAGTCATTTATCCTTACTTTTTACCAACTACTAATATAATATCAATATTCCTTGAATCTCGTGCCAAACACAGTAAGACTATATTTTTGGGACGGAGGGAGTATAATTTTTGTAAAAGTTAAATAATATAATTTTAAAATTATAAAAACTAAATAGTACATAAAGGATAAAAAAAAATTTTAAAAAAATACTGCAACATTAATTTTTCTCAGAGAAATAAAAATTTCTCTTACTCAAACAAACAAAATAAATGAAAATATTTCTATTTTTCTGCTATCAATTCCATGTACCAAAAACCCCGTATGGAAAAAATAGAATTTAAATTTAATATTAAAATAATGTATAATAAAATATTTCGAAAGAGAAAAATATATACATATCTTAAAAAATACAGAATCTAAATAGTAAAAATTTAAAGTTTAAATATAAAATATACAAACCCTAAATTAAAATACTTTCTCCTTCGACAGCAGGCTTCTTATTTCACTTTTTACATACGGATTAAGATAAATTATTATTTTACCCGCACATTCACTCAAGATCAAACACTAATCATAACACTCATAAAAGATATCATACCGTTTGATTTACAAGAACTTGATAGCTAACATGCTCTAATTATAGATTAGGGACGATGTCTACGGATAAAAAAAAAAAAAAAAAAAAAAAAAAAAAAAAAAAAAAAAAAAAGATATATTTTTCTATTAATATTATAAATATATATATTTCTTTTGTTCATCAAATTTATATATATTTTTTCTTTGTAAAAAAATGTGTATTATATTTTTAATCAAATACTAATTTTTATACATTCATTAATTTATATATATGAACGTTATATTTATTTATAATTATACTACAACTATTTGCAAACTCAATTTATCAAAAATAAAAATATATATATATTTTATCAATCTATTCATATATTTTTTAAAATATTCTTATTTTATATTATAATAAATTAATATAATATTATATTCATTAAAGTTTGTATTTAGGTCGAATGAGTATAAATTTAGTGGACGGAGTAATATACATATTTACACTATATATATTATATTTTACATATTTACGGAAAATAAAAAAATCAATATAAATTATATGTTTTTTAATATCTAACATAAAATTCAAAAAAAAAAAAACATTCTATATTATGCTTGACCAGTTTCATATTGAACTATGAGTGCTTGATTTGTGTTTCTAGTCTAGTTGTTTTGGTAATTTTATTATTATGATTACGAAATAATTTATAAATTCCAATTTTTGTTTTACTTAATTTATTTTTATGAAGTTCATATTCGTAAATATTGTTGTATTTATTATGTTTAGTCAAATAAAATTATACTTTTTATATTTATTAACAAATTATTCATTTTTCAATTTTAGTTGTCTCATAATAAAATATATATTTCTTTTTCTAATAGTTATATTATCAATTTAATATTAAAAATACTCTTACAACTTATCGTATATTACACAGATGTCATTATTTTATATCATACAATATTAATAAATTTATTTTTGTTATTTTCTTAATTTGTACTATATCTCAATGTTATATTATATTCCGAGTGTTATAACAAAATGGTTTAGGCTTATGTTTACAATAGGTGTAGATGCTGGATGATGTTTCAATTATATGCCTCGACCCCAACGACTTAAAAAATATCATTTGCAAAATTGCAATGATGAGAGATGTATCAAAATAGGGGACCTCTATGCCGATGAGGTAAAAATGTTCATGGTCCAATTGTCTTTTCTTATACACGATATCTTTTAAAAGGAATTATACTAAACTTTTGATGGACACACAAGAATAAAAATATGTGTTTGAAGGAACTAAGACTCGATAGGAACAAGCTCGCCGGCTTTTTCTATATGCTAGCTTGCCATTCTCCATTATCCGTGCTACTTCATAAATTTTTTGTTTGTTTAATCCACTAATAGAGACGGCTATTCGAATCTCTAATTATTGTATAAATACCTGCTGGTCAGTCTCGGACAAAATAGATATCCAAAACCATCCATTTCGGACTCCGGTATAACGTCAATGTTGAGGAGGAAATGCGAGATAAGCTAGTGCAATAAGTTAGTTAGTTCAGGGAATTCGTGCATAATATTACTTCTTTATGATATATCATCATTTCATTCTTTTTTTTTTTTTCCAAAACTAAATTATTTCTTTATCACCTTAATGAAAGTAATGTGTGTTTTGTTAGACAACGACAAAAAAATTAAATGTAATGTGATGTATATGTCTAATCGAATGAAAGTAGAGCATCCAATTCACGACAAAGATTTATCATTCCATCTTATGATTCTTCCTTAATTAATTGTTCCTACAAATTCTCCTTCTCAATTTTTTATTCTTGTTTAAATCTTGTCTTTTACAAATAATCAACTGAAATTTGTATCTTTTGTTTGATTTTTTTAAAAATGTATACTTATTTGCAGGGTACTAGGCTCGGCGGGGTTATCCCCGTGCGCATTTTCTGTAACGGCTGCAAGTTCACGTTGTAAAAAAAAAAAAAAAGTATTTATTTGTATGCTAAGTGTTCATGTGCTTGGAAAAACATAAAAGTATGTCGAGTTCGAGTGCAACCAAAGTATTTTACAAAAACGACTACATAATGTAGTTATCTTTCTCAGGAAATAACGGAAAACAAATCAAAAATAGACGAAGAACCAGAGGACAATGAACACCAAACATGTGCAGTGCAGGCAAAGGGTGTGATGTTTTAATGAGGGTAATGTTTTACAAAACTGTATACTATTTTATAAAAATAATACTAAATTTATAATTAAGAATATTCTATACTATTCTATAAAAATAAAAATAATACTAAATTTATAATTAAAAATATTCTATATTATTCTATACTAGTAAATAATGAAGAATGTATTAATAAAATTAATTACAATATAATACAAATAATTATATATTTAGATTATAATAACTAATTAATTTAATAAAAATTAAATAAATTATAGATTATAAAGTTTATAATACGATTGAAATATATAATTTGTCTTTAGAAAAAGGAAAGTAACGAACGAACATAAAGAATGTGAGGGACTAAAGGAATATCAATACTAATAAAAATTAAATAATTATTAGTGATAAAAAATAAAAATTTTTTGTGTCGATGATTTTTTTTTTTATAAATTTATTAATTTTAAATACAATAATAAATATAAATAAATTTAATTATATTTATAACCCCTTACACTTAAAATCTATCCAAAATCTCTTTATTTCTATCTCTTATTAATTAAAAATATTTTTATCTTTAAAATTTTCGATATTTGTATAAAACTAAATCATGTTAATTATAAATAAATAAATATTTTTTATTTATTTGTATTATATAAAATTTTATTCTATACAAAATAATATCAATGGTGCATATGTTTTATTTAAATATAATATTAAAAATATTTAAATACATATTTTAATTTTTTTATCAATATATAATATACTTTAATTATACATCACCATTAAATAATTATTTCTCACTTATCTAAATAACTAATTTATACTACATAAGTTGTTGTTCTCAAACAAAAAGCATCATACGGGACGAAGGAGTATAATATTATTTTTGTATATTAATATTTTAAATTTATAGTACTAATATTATATAATTATATCTGGTTTAAATATATTATTATTTAATATATTAATATTTTTTTACTTATTTTTATTTAATATTTAAGTTAAATATTTATTAATGGTTTGTTTGTCAGATATTTTTTTATATGATTTTCAATATGTACAGGAGTATTTTATATTTTTA